TCAGTATTTCTAATTGTAATGTTCTTTGTGTTCATCTTTTGCATGACTCAATATTAAAATAATTTAAGTGAACAAATTTGGGAAACAAAGGTACTGATATTCCTGATTATTTCAGGGTTTGTTAAATATGATTCCTCTAGAGATTATAGCCAAGTACTAACATCTGAAGGAACAATTTGTTGGAGGAGAAATTCTGAAAGCTGTTTAATGATTAAATAGTTAATAGTTAATCACTGCAATGATAACAGCAGTTGTGTCTATAGATCTTTAATAATATTTATAATATATGTATAATTTATGGGGAAAAATGAAAATCATTCTTTGAATTAGCTCATAGATATTGGATTGAAACTAAGACAGACATTCTGTGGATTTGATGATTCTTCTTTAACTTAAAATTTCTCTCGTTAAGTTTAATCTTCTTAATTCCTTGGTTAATTTGCAGTCTCAATAATTTAGATATTTTAAATATAATATTTTATTTTCTTCGTGTAGAACTCTTTAATTAAGAATCAATCATATCCTCTTTAATAGCATCAATTCTATATGAATTAATAGGGCTAGGACTAGAAATACCTTATTGTTTCAAATAGTAATTTTCTGTTTTATTAGTGGGTGTATATCTAAATATAAATGTTTTTATTACCTTTTCACTATTAAAATCCTTTCAGCTTTTCGAAAGAGAAATTCTTTTACTTTTGCCCATCTTTCTTCAATTTTCTTTCGTCTCTATTATTTTGTAATTAGCAACCCTTTTAAATTAGGAAATCTATTGATTATATATCGGCATATTTTGGTAATAAATATTCTGGCATTCTAAACAATTGTTATCAATTTAAATTATTTATGTAATAGAAGAACATTTAATGCATATATTTTAATTATTGGTAGTTTAGCATTTTTAGCAATTTTAAGGACATTCATTAATACCATTATCATTTTTAAGAATAAAACTATTATGAAAATCTAAACAAATTAATTCTAATATATCTTAGAATATTTAAAATAATGAATTTAAATATTATTTTAATCCACCTTGTTAATAAAAATGAATTAAAGTGATCAAGATTCTGTCTGAATTACATTAATTAAAAGCACAATTTTTACATCTTGATGGACATGCCATACAAGTTTCAAAGAATAAATCAATATAATACTATAAATACAATTAGAAGAATCTTCTGTTTTACATAATTTAATTATTAGTTGAACAATGACTACAAAAATTGTTCAGTGATAATTTCAGTTAAAGGATCAAATAAATAAGGAATGGTTGATCTAATTCCTTATTTATTATATTCAGTTAAACAGTTAGGTATTTCAAAACTTTCACAATTATATCCATCATCAGATATCTTATAATTATTTATACATTTTAAACATCTATTCTAATTAACTTTGTAGATACATTTTAAACAATTATATCCACATTATTATTTTAATTTAGTATTCATCAAACATTACTGAAGGATACAATTGAAATAATAATTTGACAAACATTAAAGACACACATTATTTGAACATATACTACAAAATTAATCACATTATAAACACTCTCCATTTTTAAAGTAATAATCTATATTTATTACTTAAATATAGATTACTTGGCTTACAACTAATTATGATTAATTGACCAAAATTAGTATATTTATATATTTAACAATCATCATCATTACATATTTCTTAACATCCTAGACAATTATTAATTGAACCTGAATTTAGATCAACCATATATAATTATATATCTTATTTCACTTTTATATAAGTAGATTACTCATCAAAAGATCACTTAATTCATAATTATAAATGCATTTTAAATTAAATTACCAAAATTGTTAATTTTCAATGCAATCACCACAATAAAAAGAATTTTCATTTAATGAAAATGGACTTAAAATTAATGATTAAATATAACAATCAATACAATATTTTTATCCTTTCATATCCATAATAAATTAACCATAATAGTATTAGGTAATATCATATTCAATTTCTTCTGTTTAAAAAAATGTATTTTATTTTATTTCTATTTATATTTTCAATTATCTCATGGGCATTTCTTTTAAAAAGTGAATTTAAAGTAATTTTCATTGCAAAGACATTTATTTTATTTTAGTTAACGATTTTCAGTAATTTCGCATTCTGTACAATAGTTTTATGTGGGTCCATTACAAATTTTGCATTTTCGTCACATTCTATTTAAATCTATGATAAAATTATACTTAATTAAAAAATATACGGTCTCTATATGCAAGATTTCATTGAAATTTGGCCTAAATTCCCTGCAAAATATCACATCATTAGAACCAATATAAAAATATAAATCAGATCCAGTAAAAAATAAAATTAGATTAAGCCAGTTTATAAATTTTACTCTCTATCATACATTATAGTAATAAAATGCCATTAAGACACTAAATTTACTTAGGATTTAATAGTAATCAATTCAGCATTTGAATTATAAAATAATTTATCATATTTCTTAGCTTTCAATTAAATTTGAATATCTAAATCTCCATCTAGAATAACATATGTTAAATCTAAAAGTAAACTTTGTTCATCAATTATATATAATTTTGTTATATAATCGTCTCTAACTTATAATAAATTATAGATTTTATTATTTTTAAAATATTAACTTTTAATATATACTTAATTGATTGATAACTTATACCAAGCTTCAAATTCAAATGTACTGTCTAATAAGAAAATACTCTTAAAAATTGATGATGGTGAAGTTTAAATATCATTTATCAAAGTTCATTTAATAGGATTACATTTTATTTGCACCTAAATACAAATTAGTCAACTCAGTTTTAAAGTAAGAACTAGTCATATCTAATGAACCTTAATATTTAATTATGATATCAATTCACGGAATTGATTAAAAAAAAACTTGTAATCTGAAAACTTAAATTTAATTTTAAAATATATATCTGAATCCCCCAATACTTAATTAGATTGTAGTTTGATCAATTTAAAATCATTTTGATTGATATTTAATGTCTAAGTAATATAATTAAAAACAAAATGATCTATTTTCTACTTTATCGGTGTAATTCTATAAAATTTGAAATGCCAAATTCCTTCGAAAAAATTTAAATCAAAAATTTCAGTTGATAATATATTTTCATCCACATTTATTATCATTGTTTGTAAAATATGATTATTGATATCAAAATATGAATATATTTTTTATAATTTTGCTTCTTTATTATAAACTCTAAATAGTAGTTATCCAGATGTAATTAATGCTTTTGCAGTTGAGCTTGCTAAAAACTATTAGGATTAGATTTTTAATTTAGGTTCATATTTAAACAAAAATGAGAGTGAAACTTCTTTGTTAATCAGAAATTCATTTGGGATGTATTAATTATTCAGATTTAAACTTTTAAAGTTTATTATTGTTTAAGAGCCTCCTGCCTAAAGAACAGAGTTATATAGTATTTTCTTTATTATAATTACATCATTCCAGCAAAAATAGTTAATACTGTGATCATTTTTAGAATGAAATAACTTATAATTTATCTATAATAATATATCAATAATTGCTGCAATCACTATAGTCTTATTAATTATTAAACTTTTTTTATTTTCGAAGCAACAAAACATTTTATTGAGTATCCTGAAATTTGATCTTTTTAAATTTGACAATTTTAAACCTAAAATGAATTTTTATATCTTTAGATAACACAATCAAAATTGTTATGAGGATAATATATTTTGAATTTCATCATAGTTTCAAAATTATTATAAATGAAATCATTAAAAAGATACTCTTAATTCTAATATTATAACAAAGTAATTACTTCAGGAGTTAATAGAGCTTAAAATTAAGACTGTTAACATATAATGCTTAATTATTTTGTTCCACTATTTTATTTTAATTTATTTTCATCAAATAATGTGTTAACGCTATTTGCTAAATGAACAATTTCTCTTGTTTATTCTGAATCATTCTATTTTGAATTTTGAGAGTGATTATTTGATATATTTCTTGAAAATGAATTTGTATGAGTTTTAGACTTATTGGTTTGCCTAGATTTTTATTATGCTTATATAATTTATGAATTATTTTGACTTTAATAATATATATTCTGATTTTACCCATTTTATAATTATAGAAGAATTTCTTTATCATCCTTATCTAAAACTGAGAAACTTCCTTAAATACCAATAAATCCAGCAGTTTTATTGGAATCTTTTCTTCTTATTGTTTTTGTTATTTTAGGAATAATCATACCAACTTCATCGGCTTCTTCTTCTATATTAAACAGTTCAATACTATCTCCATTAAAATTACTATTTGATACTTAATAATCTTAAATCACTTTTTGAGTAGGAATAGAATTACTAAATTAACTAGGTGAATGTGTTTAATCTATTTATAAATTTAAAATTTACTTTCTGAATAAGGCAATTAAGAAAAATCTTGGAATTCTTCTGAATTAACATCTTAACTTAATTTAGCATTAATAATAGATTTAACTCTCTCTTGATTACAATTTAAATTTCTTAATGTTAAATATCTCTTTTATTTTCTAATAATAGGTTTTCGAAGTTATTTCTTGCTATATAAATATTTTTCAATCACATTTTAACGTTAAGGAAAATATTATAAGTGTTTACATTCCACAATATAATCACCTCTAATTTTACAGAAATAACAATCAAACAAAGATTAATTATAATGAGAATTATCTTTCATCATACTAAATCTTTCATTATCTTATGGATAATTTGATATTATTCCTAAAAAATCAGATCTTTTTAATTTCATTAATGTTGTAACACCACAACTATAAATACTTATATTTGAAGGTATTCCAGATATAAAAGAATGTAATCCAAATGCTTAACCCTCTAAAAGTCTAGTAACAGATCTTTTATTATTGGCTAATGAAGATCCTTGAAATTAAACTTTTACTTCACCTTTTAATATATAATATAAACTTAAATCCTCAGCTTTATGTTCCTATAATATAAAATCAATAGTTTATTATTACAATTAATATATTATCTTCAGGATTAAATGTTACCTACTCAATCATATATAATAATTGCTATTTAAATTGAGGAGAAAACTTATTCATTAAATCTAATCTTTCTATCATTTTTGATCTTAAAGAAATTTCTATCTCATCTTACAATCCTGGACTTAATTTTTTCATTAATTAATCTTTGGCTCTACCTAAATCTTCCTATTTGTTTTTATTTATTATATTATACATCTATTCTATATTCAAGATAAGAATGACATCTTCTCTATAAATCATAATCTTAACATTTCTCCTTTAAATATTCCACAAATCCCTTTAACAATTTTTACTTTTCTTCTTATATCTCTATTGATGGCTTTATCCATGTCCAAAGTTAAATTAAAGTGTAAACATAACATAAATAGCATATTAATGAAAATATTGAAACTACAATAAGGTTTTCCTAATTCAAATCTAAAGCTAAATTTCTATCTATATATTTACAAATGTTTCCATTATGAGTTAATAATGATATTGAATAACTTATATATAAAAATAGGGATTAATTTTCGTCATCAAATACTCTTATTTAAATTATAATATTACTCTTTAAAGTGCAAACTAAGCTCATTATAATTGATATCCATAATTATATTATTATTACTATAGTATGTGTAAATCTATATAAATTTTCGAATGGTTCAATAATACGTATCATTTCCAGTATGATTAAGATTATTATTAATAAAATCATTAAAAATTTATTATCCAAATTTAAATTATAATTAATTAATAAAATTATTAGCCTAAAGAAATCTAAATATACTTTTTATTAATTCTTGTAATTTTATACTATTTTCCCTCTAAATAACTTATATGGACCTCTTTAAAAATACAAATCCAATAAAATTGCTAAAATCTTGAAACAAAAAATAATCAAAGTAACTAATTCTTAAATTTAAAAGGTTTTAAGTAATGGTATAAAAATAATTGTAAATAGGCTAGATAAAAATGATGTCAAAAAGATAAACAAATTGAAATAATAATAATAAAATGGGGAAACTAAGTCAAATATTCTTTTTAATACCTTCTTGACATTCATGTGTTATAAGTGGATCATTATATTTTGAATAATGAATTGAATTAAGCAATCGTTATTTAATTTATTCTATTATGATTTTCACCTTTCTATTATCTAAAAAATGTTTCCTTGGTTCTAATAATAAATTTGATTAAATCATTTAAGAAGGTGATAATAATGAACTATCCTCTTAAACAATACTAAACTTCTTTTATTCTTATCCATGAACCTATTAATCAGTGTTTTATGTGATACAATATTTGTAATTGTAGGTATTTTTAATTCTTCATTACTTTAGAAATCATTTGGTTAATGTGGGAACATTTAAATAAATGATGGCTTCAATTAACAATTTTAATGTTTTGTTTAATGTTCTTTCAACTCTTAACTTGCCCTACTCTCTTATTTTCTTATACCTTTTATCAATTTTTGAATTATAATCTACCTATTCTTTGTCTCTACTCAATGTAAATAAGGCTTTGCTAATAAACATATTTATAATTATTTTCAAATAATCTGCAGCTATTTAATTGCCAAAAAGATATAAATTTTCGAATTTAAATTTCATTAACTTTATGATTTTTCACATTTTTGACCATGAGATAAGGAATAACATTAAAAAATTATAATTTATTAATTTGTGCAATAATTGCAAATAATCAAACTAAAAAACTTTCTAACTCCTCCATGAGCTTTTATTAAGATGATAATTTATTTTTTTTCTTCTCCTTTTATAATTATTATTATTAATTAGATTATTCTATAAATTACTATTATTAAAAACTTGATCTAGTTCTCCTCTAAAAATATTATTATTATTGATAATATCCAGGTGGTCGACCTAATCTTCTTTCTTAATATGGCTATTTTTTTGTTTTATATTCAATATCTGATATTATATTCTATAATTAATTCTTAAGTTATTTCTCTTTGTTTCCATCACTTAACTTTGTTTAATTAAATTGTATTAATTCTAATAAAATTTATGCTATATTTTTATCTTAAATATTTTAATCATTATTTTTATTTTAAAATTTTGTTATATAATTTTATATTTTACATTTTGTGTCCTCTTCATTTATAATCTTTTCTATTTCATTTTTTATCAAATTCTTATAATCTAAAATAATTTCTAACATTTTAAAAATAATCTCTTTTTATTAATATTCTTATTTTCCTAATTATTAATAATAAAATGCTTTTGAATATGTTTAAGATTTCGCCTAGGTTTAAAAATTATAGTGGATTAATGCAATAAATAAATTAAACACACAATCTTCCTGACATTCAATAATTAATTCTTTTGAAATCATTATTAAATTCTAATTTTAAATATTCAAATCTAAATATGCTATGATTTTTGGAAATGGAAATCTGACTTTTATCATTTCAGTCATAATTTTATTGAATAATAATAAAGATTCTATTTATTGTTATTATGATAGTTCTCTTTTTTCATGAGTTCTAAAAAAATCTTTTTTTATGAAAGATGGTATATTAACTATACTAAAATCCATTATTGATTTTTCTGCCGTTTTTTAATATTAAACAATTTATGATAGACCTTCATAAAATTTCTCTGCTTAATCAACTTAATTTCTAAATTTTTAAAGATTCGAATAAAGCTTTTTAAACTTTTTAGATTGAACTAACTGTTTTAATTCTACAATCATATACTTTTTTTATTCTAAAATCAAATTTAAATTTTTAGAGAAAATATTAAAATTAGATTCAATCAATTCATCTTCATATTTTGGAAAAACTTTTTCTATATAATAATTCATTTCTGATAAGCTTAATGTATTTAAATTAATTAATTAATCTATTTTAATAGAATAATTAAATCTTGACATTTATCTTTTGTTATAAATTTATTTATAGACCTATTTTGTTATTTAGAATTCTACAAAGAATTGTTAAGTGTCTCGATTCATATAAAACCTTGTGCATAATAGTAAAGAAGTTAAAGGAATCTTAAGTTTTAAAGATTATACTATTGCAATCATTTAAGCTTTAAAAAAAATGAAATATTTGTAATCTTCAGTAATAATCTAAATATTTGGAGTTTAATAAATTATTTGTTGAACATATTAAAGTATTTCATTATTATTCTATTCCTTGATTTAATAATCGTATAATTTATAATAAAAATTGAAAAATGTAGTGCTAATAAGGATTTCTTCAGTTAATATAGAAATTTTCTCAATGCACAATTACAAGATTCTAATAATTAGTTCTTGTTCTGTATATTCAGGAATATCAATTGAAAATTTTTCAATTAAATCAACATTATAGGTTTTCATCAAAAGTTTTAATAATGAATCAGTTTTTCTAATTGTAATTGTGCCTTTCGTTTCAGAAAAGAACAAATAGTTTAATATCTTCGGAAAAACTATATTTTTGAAAGTTAAGAAGTTTAAAGTTGTAGAAATTTTTTGTTCTTTTTATTTGTTTTTAAGTGAATCAGAGCTGCTTTCATTTTGATGACTCTCAAAGAAAATCATTTTATTTAAGAGTATATTAATTTTTCAAGGACTGATGATTATATTAAGAAAATCCTTCTAAAATTCATCATAATTATCGAATTAAGGGGGATATGATATACGAAGCCTAAATTTAATATAATAAAATTTGCATAAAGTTTATTTTACTGTGATACTTAATAAATAGAGCCTATATATTGTATTTTAGGTTTATCATAATTAAAATAACCCTGAATTTTTGATATGTAATAATGCAAGTCAGATGAATATAAAAGACCTTTTATTCTAGCTTAATATGATAAAATAAGCAGATTAAAATCATTGGATCGGCTTTTAACAAATACTTCTTATTTTTTAACTTATTCACCTCAATAATCACCTGATGTTAAAGCGATAATTGATCATTCTAAGCTTTCTATTGAAAGATCAAGATCTTCAAAAGCAATTGAAAAATTAAAAGATCCTCAGAAAGGAAAGCAAATTCAAAGAAATGAAACAAGAAACAACATTTCACTTTGGGAATATTATTAAAAGTGTATGAATTAATTTAATAAAAAATAGAGATTAGCTTGCAATTTATAAAAGAAAGTAAAGATAATAGGATTTAATAATGTCTTAAGCTTCTTGAACCCACATTTGTACATTAAATATGTAAGAATAAAATCTTAATGCTTTAAGTAAACTTAAATTCATCAATTCCAATAAATCCAAATTTAAAAGCTAATATAAATTTTTAAGATAACAATAAAAATTCAGCTTTACATTACGCAGTATTGAATCAAAATATATCTCTTGTGTAAGCTTTGATTTTTAAGCAAATTTAGATAGATATTATGAATTCTGAAGAGAAAACACCTTTTATGTTAGCTTGTATTCAGTAATTTTTGATTTAAATTTAAAAGTGGTTATATGGATATAATTCTTATTTTATAAGAGTAAGGAGCAAAAATTAATCATTCAGATAATGAAGGAAACACTTCTCTTCATTTAGCTTGTAGATTTAATTAGAAAAATGTAGTTATATTTTTGTTAAAAATGAATGGAATAGAAATATAATTAAATAATGAATAAAAAACACCAGAATAATATATTAATGATTAAGAAATCAAGTAATTATTTTATAATTATTATTAATAATCAAAAAGTAATTTATAAAATATTACAGAAAAAAGGACAAAAGAAAAAGAATAATAAATTTAAAATTTTTTGAGAGAGTACTTCAAGAAGTCTAAAAAATGTTAAATAAAATAAACATGTTCTCCTATTCATAATTTATCACTTGAATTAAAATAAAAATATATGAAAAATGAAAGAACATAAAAATAGATTCAATTATAGTAATTGTTTATAAATACTCCTTCAACAACTGATTCAATGAAATAATCAAAATCAAAGGATGATGAAACAGTCGGTCCATAATAATTCAAAATATTAGGACTTTTAGGAAAAGGAAGTTTTGGAGAGGTATATCTTGTATAAAGAAAGGAAAAGTTATATGCAATGAAAGTTCTTCATAAGAGTTTAATTATAAGTAAAAATAAAAATTAATAAAAAGAGTAAAATATTTGTAGATATGCAATAACTGAAAGAAATGTATTATCTGTTTCTTCACATCCATTTATTGTTAAATTAAGATATGCTTTTTAGACATAAGATAAATTATTTATGATATTAGATTATTGTTCTGGTGGTGATTTAGGTTAAGTTTTGACAAAACAAAAAAGATTACCTGAAAATTAAGTAAAATTATATATTTGTGAAATAATATTGGCATTAGAGGATCTTCATAAAAGAAATATAATTTATCGAGATTTAAAACCAGATAATATTATTCTTGATTCAGAAGGTCATGCTTTATTAACTGATTTTGGTTTATCAAAACAAGGAATATTAGATTCTAATATAGGAGCTTAATCATTTTGTGGTTCAGTAGCATATTTAGCTCCAGAAATGTTATAAAGAAAAGGACATGGAAAAGCAGTTGATTGGTATTTACTTGGTGTTGTTATGTATGAACTATTAGTAGGACTACCTCCATTTTATTCAAATGATAGAAATGTCTTATTTAACAATATTTAGTTTGCAGAGTTACAAATTCCAAATTTTGTATCTTTAGAAGTAAAAACTCTCTTAAAATCAGTATTATATTAATTTAATTATACTTTAAGTTATTAAATAGAAATCCTATTGATCGATTAGGTTCTGGAGAAGATGATTACATTTAAGTGAAATAACATCCTTATTTTAAAGATATTAATTGGGATAAAGTTCTTAATAGAGAACTTAAAATGCCTAAACCTAATCATAAATTAAATTTAATTTCTAAAGATTTTAAGAATGTATTTGATTTACAAAGTTTTATTGAAATTGAAAAATCTCATGTTAATGGATGGACTTACATTTAAACAGAATGATATTTTATATATATTTAAGTGGATCTATTTTTTTTAGAATTATTCTAATGCTTATAAATAATTATCAATGTAAAAATCTTATTTTACATAATCTTTATATTTTCATAATAAAATATAATTATTATGTTTAGAATATTTATCAATCTCAAAAAATGATAATTTAAAGTTTTGATTTAGATAATAATTATGTTAATGATTATTTAAAAGGTTACAGAAAATATTAAGATAATTTCTTATATATTATATAATATAATACTATCAGGCTTAATAATATAATAAGAGATGAAGAAATCTATGGGACAAAGTTATCGTAAAATATAAGCTGAATTTAGGTATATAGTATATATATTTATATATAATAAATAGATCACATCGACCTCAATTGACAGAAGTATAAAGCATGACAGTAATAACAAATTAAAGTAATTTAGTATTTATTCTTTAAGATGGAACAATGAAATTCTCAATAAAAGAATATCTTGAGAGATAAAGATGTAATATAAAAGAAAAGAAAACTTCATAAAGTGATAATTTTCTAAGAAAGATTGCTCCTATTAAATTAGAGAATTAATTAAGCAAAAACAATTCACCTCGATTTAGAATTAAATTGGTTTCAAGTCCATTAAGTACTAACAGAACAACTCTTTCAAGATCTCCTTAAGCCTCAACTTTTCGAAATCGTAATATACCTTTAGAATCAGATTATATTTGTGAAACTGAGATGAATATATAAACAGCAAGAATAGATAGAGCATTTTAATAAACTGATATAGATGAAAGTACTTTACTATCAACTAAGACACCTACAAGATAAGAAAATAGAGTTTAAAATTCTTCAGTAATTAAAACAATGAATGCTATTAATTCTGCAGATGAAGATGATCAAAATTTATTGAAAGAATAAATTAAACCTCCAAAAAGAACTAAAAAATAATTAAGACATTGTTTACTTCGAGCATTGAAAAAATTAAAAGAAATGAATGTCTCTACCAAAATGATGGTCTAAAAATAAATATTTTCTAAAAAACCTTATTAGAAGCCTTATTCATAAGAATTTATACACGCTGTCAAATTGAATCAAATTGAAAAAGTTCATTAATATCTAGAAAAAAATTAATACTTAGTTTTTGATTTTGATTTCTTTAATATGTCTGCCTTGCATTGGTCTAGTAAAAAAGGATTATATGAAATGACTGAACTGTTAATAAAATATCATGCAGATGTTGATGCAATTGATATATTGAATAGAACACCTTTGTATTTAGCTATATAAGAAAATAATATACCTATTATTGAAGTAAGAATATTTATCAATTTTTAGTTACTTTTAAGAAATAAAGCATATCCTTGGTCTACTTCAGTAACTGATTTGGGAGAAGTGGTTAAAGATAACAAAAAAGTTCGCAAAATATTAACTTTGATTAGAAGAGTAATTATTACAATTTAATTTATAGTTGGACATTATCAACATGTGGGGAGAGAAAAAATTGAAAGAAGAATTTTTTTGATTTGTTTATATATCTTTATAATGTCGCCATTCCTATTTACTACTAATCTCTCTAATTTCGAGGAATGTTATTCAGACGAAAACATAAATAAACTTATTTCCTTAAATCTAAGTTATTAATGATTCTTTTACTACAAAATATCCTATAGTAAAGCTTAGAGAGTCTATGCAAACTAAATTTATTGGTTCTTTTTAATTCTAATTATAAAAATTAAATTACTTGCTCTCTATAGAAAGTTAATTATCTTTTTAAATATGCAACATTATTGTAAAACTTTTATTGGTAGAACAAACTATTAAATTATTATTATGCCATTAAGGATCAAACTATTAAACAAGAAAATTAAAAATATGTTCTATGAATTATTTAACATTTTTTAAATTGGCAATTAATAATAAGAAAATCTAATAATTGGTATTCTTGCTCATAATTATTAACAAGCTTATGTTTTTATCAATTTTTACAACTAATATTTAATCATTCAAACTAATTTATTAAATTTATTATCTTTTTTGGCAATTAATAGATAGATATCTTGTACTAACCCACAATTAAAAAGTATTTTTTTTAATTCTACTTTGTTTTTAGACAATTATTTTAGTTACTTATTCCCATTCAAATAACAAATCAGATTTAAAATTGTTCGGGTCTTCTATTTTAATGATTTAAGGATTTTAAAATTTAATTATCTAATTATTTTGGTCTCTAATGATTTTCTTTTTAAGTTATTAAGTACAAAAATATTTTTGAGATCAAAGGTAATTAGTGTACAATTTTGAGTGATTTTTACATTCAAAAACTTAATTGGCTTTTGCCTATTTTATCAAAACCATAATTCAAGTAAGAGACTAGAATTCAATGAAATTAGCTAATTTATGCTTTTGTTTATCAAATATTAAATTAACTATGCAAACAAAAAACTCAAGAATAAATTTATAAATTTTCTCTTGAAAATTTTGACAACCTCTTTGTTTGTTATAAGGCTAATAGATTTTTATAATGATTTTAAGCCTTAATAAAGATATATTATTATTTCTTGATTTAATTGACATATGTATCACATAGTTATTCTGTGAATATAAGTAGAAGTTTAAGCAAAAATTGAAGAATCAACCTTTGAGCCTAATAGTTATTGATTAAATTGTTGATAGTATGATTATTTAAAAATTTGAAGAAATATTTAGAATTTTCCTTATAGTTTCATTAAAGAATCTAACAGGATTTTTTATTAAAAAATATATCAAATTTAAATTTAAAGTATGATTTCATTAATTATTCTTCTTCGAATTTAGAGAACTATCAGACCATTAAATGTGTAAACATTATTCTGTCCATTCTGTAATTAAATAAGAAAGATAATCGAAGTAATTAAATCTATAAACCTAATAGATTGATAGATAAAAGTAAGTGAATATTATTGATAAATAATTGAATTACATTTAGACTAATTGGCAACCTTTTTAAAGGGTTGATCAGGCTAATTCATTATTGAATATAAAATAGTCATTATTATTTATTCAATTTTGACTTTAATTTCCTGTGAATTCTCCACGTTGACAATAATCCAAATATTCCTGAACCTTGTAACAATATCAAACCATAAAATTTTCCTGAATAGTTTGTTATTATATAAAACAAGGTGTTGATGGAGAAAGAGAAACTAAAAATTATATACATTAAATCTACTGAGTAGATAAACTAAGTTGAAATATTAACTTTACTTTTTGAAAATAAACTATTTAAAAAGATATTGTAGTTGACATCATTGCTGAACAGCAGAATCCTAGGATGAATGACATTACATATACTAAGAAATCAATTTCAAATATATAGATTCCCCAGGCTAATAGACAACCCAACTGATATACTCCAAGTATATAATATAATCCACTTTAATTATTAAATAATTCTTACGTAATTTTTTAAGAGAAATCTCCAAACAATCCCAAATAAAAACATCCAAAGATTTGTCCAATTCCAACATAGAGAAATCCTTCATATATTGTAGCTGCTCTTATTTTTGGGTCTTAAGCTGAATTAATTGTCAATAGATTAGGCAATTGCAATAATAAAAAGGACATTACACTTCCAATATTGAAAATTAAAATAATAAAATAAAAGAATCCATCCAAACATAATGCATTTAATGTTAAGTATAAATTTCCAAAATAATTATTTTTGACATATTCCTCAATTGAAATTGTTTTCTAATTTGAATATATTTAATTCAAATCATCAGATGATTTTGGTTTTTCTTATAGAATATCTTGTAAATTATCTTATTCATATGAAAAACTTTGAATCGTAAAAAATTATTAAGTCTACCTTATTTGTACTTATTAATCCATAATTTATTATATCATCTCTGTCTCATCATTAATCACTTCTTCAAAGTTTATTAATTTATTATATAATTCATTAGTTTCTTTTTTATAATTCATTTTTTGTAATTCTTATTTCAATGTTTTTTAATTCTCTTTTCCATTCTCAATTAGCAATTAAGTTATCATTTTATTAAATTTTTTAAATTTTTATTTCTTTTTTTCATCTGGTATTGTTAAAAATAAAGTGCATAAAAATACAGAACTGAATATCAATATAATATAAACATGTTTTAATGTTTCTACTAAAGATCCTCTGCTACAAAAATGAACTAACAAATTTCCTATCAAACTACCTATCAACCATTAAAATTGATGTCTACATATAAATTATAATATTCATATACATACATAAAGTAGAATGAACTATAGTAAATAATCTTTTCCTTTCCTCCTGCTAAATTAGACAAATAATAAAGCATAGAAAAAAGTAATAGAGTCTTACAAAATCCTGATATAAAAGAAAATATTATAGTAAAAGTCCAAATTATATAGACATTACATATTGATTCTTGAGAATCTTTACAAATTGTTGCGAACTAAAGAGGTGTTATAAACAAAATAGTTCCAAAAGAGGAAAAGAAAAATATATACCTGAACTATGCTTTTAATAATAACATGGGTATCATTGGTAAACTTAAAGGAGCAGCCATTTCATAACAAAACCATCTACGAAAATTAATATTTGATTGTACTAAATATTTCCAAAACTTACAAGTCCAGAATCAGGGTCTAAATGATTATTGGTCGAATATATGAAATCATAAATTTGCATCATTACCATCTTCCCAGTAATTGTGAATGCTTTAAGTAGCATATACAAAAAACAGCAATAAGTTGAAAGCCATAAATCTTTGGCCCATTTTTATTCTCTTATTCTCAATTAATATCTATATTAAATGAATTATAATTCATTCATTTACTATAAATTTTTATATTTTTAATTTTTTTAAACGAAGAATTTAATTTTGATAATTTTGTATAAATAATAAAATATTATTGAAAATCAATTCTATAGTTAAACTCTTTCAGATAAGATTTGCCATCTTGACGTATTATATCTTCATTGATATATAATTAATTTAATAAGAGCAATTCTGTTTTGATTTTTCGATTAGGAAATAAATCTGGTATTTGAATTACATCAATGTTAATTGGAATTTAATATTCTTCTGTTTAATTTGATATTAATAATTGATTAATTTCTCATAAAATTCTAAAACTAATAATCCATATAAAATTTAGTTTAGAAGATTAGAATATTAAGAGATAGTTCGTTTAATGTATAGACATTTTGGTTCTTAAGCAATATTTCTTAAGTTTTATCAGCAGTGAATAAAGGTTCTCTAGTCATTTTAAAAGTTGATGAACATATTGTTACACTTTTTCGAGCATGGCTCCAATTGCATACATATCAATTTATGGAATCTAAATGAATTTGTCAAATTTATATTCTTCATAATTTAAAATTTAAGGTGTAACCAGGAGTTCACAAAGAAAAAATGGTTATTCAAGAGTATTAACTATAGCCAAACCAAAATCAATAATCTTGATATCAATTTTATTTAACTTAGTAAGTACTACATTTTCTAATTTCAAATCTCTATGAATTATATTTTATTGATGAAAATTTTTGATTCCTAATAACAATTGCTAAAATAATAATTACAGTTATTATACTTAAAGTATACTTCTTACAATACATTGTTTCAAAAGATGTCCATGGTTCTTAATCTATTTAAATAGTTTTTCTCTTTCTAAATATTCAAAGATTAAGTAATAAGTATTTTCACATATAATGATTTCAATTTAATTTAATTAGGATGTTCTTTTAATGTTTTTAATATTTTAATCTCATTTACTATAAGTTTAATCATTATTACTTGACAAGATGCTCCAGTTCCTATTTAATCATGAGATGAATAGAAATTAAAAGTTCTTGTAAAGAATATTTTATTAAATATATGTTATTTTAACCAATCCAATTAATCACATAACCCAGTAAACCACTTTAGTTTATTTTTATATTTTATTTCAAATTCATTTATTTTAAGATTTTCTCCTATTTTCTAACTTATAATATGCATCTGATATACTATAAATTCTCTCTAATCAATATTTTATTTGCTAACAGCTATAAATGATAATTTTTATTCACTATTAGATGTCTTCTAATCACTTCACAACCAAACATCATTCACTCAAATTACATAATATAAATTTATGAATAAATACTATTTAATATCAGACTTCTATAATTATAATTTATATCTATATTAGAAATTTATATCTATTAATAAAAATGAATATTATATCATTCCACATTTTATCTAGGGCTAGGCCAATAATTTAAAATTCTATAGCAACTTCCAAGTAAACAACCTAAGATGCATCCATTTCTGCACTAACGATTAGAATTCTATACTTCTTCTAAACTCTTCATTTTTTATTTACAAAATAATAATGCAATTTCTAAATTAACTTTATTTTCTACCTGCTTTCTTATATAAAGGATTTAACTAATTAAGTTTAAATAAAGTTTATTTAGCCATTTTTAGCTTCTATTTAGCTGTATCCGAATCATTTGTACTCGATTATTTTATGTAAATTTAACCTTGCTTAAAATAATATATACTTAATCCATAAAGAGCTTTTTAATTATTAGGTTCTTTTTTTAAAATCTCTTCATATAATTATCTATAATAATAATATTTAATGATTACTTTATTTCATCATACTAAGAATTCTGTATTTCTTCCAATGTTACACTTTCATTTTAATTTCCATTTTCAATTATAGGGCTATCTTCATTATATTATTAACTGAAAGATAAATCATGAAGAATTCTAATTCGACTTAAAGACGACTCTGAATATGATAATTTTGCTTTAGCTATTAAAATAACATAAAGAAATACCATAAGCCAATCGAAATGAATAATTGTCAATTAAATATTTATTTTATTCGCTTTCTTACTCTAATTGACTTAAATCTTGGATTGTCAGTTAGAGCAAATTAAATCCTATTTAAAAATTTCCAGATTTTAACAAGCTTTTTGCTTTTTATTAAAAATAAAAGTTTACAAATTTACAAGTCTATTCTCTTTTAATTAAGAGGTAAAATAGAATCTCTTTCAATATTTTTTAAAATCTCTAAGGCTTGTTAATATAATCCCTATTTATGTTTGATTTTCGCTAAAATTTAGATTTTAAGTCAACCTTTTTATATAAGTAAATTGCAAAGTAAATTTTCATCTATCTGATCTATAGTTTCATTCAATGCAGCATCTGTAATTATTTAGGACTCTTATGAAGCTTCCTTCAAATTTTTTTAGAGAAGAAGACATTCAACTTAAAATTATTAGAAATAGAAATACTTTGAAAATATTTAGAATTATAATTATCGTGAGTTTGTAAATTTTAAATCTCTTATTAAGCTTTTATAATTTCTTTAGATTTAATCAAATTTTTACCTAATATAATAATGAATTATAACATAGATTAATTTAATCATCTTTAGTTTATAATATTGATGAAGAATTATTGGAATTGTAACTTTCTAACATATTATTTAAATTTAAAATAGCTAAATCTACTTTAGGATAAAATTCAAGGTATTTAAAATAAATTGGATAAAACTTATTTTATAATTCTACTAAGTTATTCCTGAATTAATTGAATTTGTCTTCAATTTAATATTAATATTCGAATATTCTTTTTGCGCATTACATTATATTTTTAATAGCTTTTGTAGTCCAAACCTTAATTTTCTTAAGGAGCTTTTCTATATCTGCTGAGTTTGAAACTTTCACTATATTATAATTTCTTATTGAACATCCCTCGCAGATTAGTTTCTTACTTTATCTTTCCATGCACCAATAAGCAATTTCGCCTCTTTTGCATTAAAGACATTTATTCATTAAAATTTTTTTAATATTTAATATATCAAAATAAAATCTCATTTTTGTTTAATTTAATCTAAAGGTTTCTTAGTTAAATCAATAGGATATGATATCAATAAAATAAGCATGAAAAGACTACATACACTACATATTAAGAAAGGTATATAATTATTATTGAAATAGATTGGAAAGATAATAAATGGTGCTATAGATCCTGCTATTCTACCCATTGCCATAGTAGTTCCAACTCCAAGTGATCTATATAGAGTATGATATGATTCAGCAAATAAAACATTTAATGTTCCCCAATTTATTTTACAACAGAATTTAAAGATTATCAATCCTAAAATAATTACCTATAATTTCCAATGCCATATTGAATATAATATTATAATGAGTGTTGTTGTTGAAAATAATAATGTTGATAATCTCCCAAAATTATCTATACTATACAACATTAAAAATATTGCTGGGATTTCTCCTATATCTACTATGTATAAATGAAGTAAAGACTTATTTTCATCATCTAAAATAAATGGTAAAATGTTAAAGATAGCTAACATTATAAACATAAATAAGAAAAATATCAAGTAATTTCTCCATGTTATTGGTAGATTCTCTTAATTAAATAATTATTTGAATGAATTATTTTCATGTAAATGTTGTAAATGCTATTCTTATGCCCAATCTTTTAAATTCAAAATTTCATCATCAGTCAACATCTAATACTCTTAATTATTAAATTATCCTAGATTATTTAAATTATCTATTCCTTTTTATGTTTATTAATGTAATATTAAAAATCTTGGAGATTCTTAAATCCAAAGAATTGTTCCAATAAGACAAATCAAACATGGAATACTATTACATAAAGATATTGCTCTCCAATTCCCTTTAGAAATACCTTCCATAAAAATATATCCTAAAATCATTATCCAACATCGACCAAGTAATATCATTATTTATAATGTTACAATCATTTTACCTCTATGAAGTTTTGGGGTTACTTCTATCATTAATATTGAACTAATTGGTAGATTCATTCCTATTACAATACCGTATGTTAATCTAAGTAAGATCATTTGAACTATATTGTTTGCAAATGCTGTAAGAAAAACGACTGCAGTCTTTATATCATAACAAAATACTTGTAAAACTGTCCCGATTATTAAAATATTTTTCCTTCCAATGCGATCTGCTAATAATCCACAAATTGTAGAACCTATCATCAATCCTAAATTAAATGATCCTCCAAATATTGAAAGTTCAACTATTGATAAATTCCATTCCTATTTTAATGTTGGTGTTAATATTGATAAAAATAGAAATTCAGCACCATCAAGGAAATCAATAAAACTAATTATAAAGAATTATCTCAATTGATGCTTTCCAAAACCAACTCTCTTCTCTAATAAATACTCAAAAATTTAATTATCCATTTAATTATTATTTATATTATTTTACAAAAAAATAGAAAATACTGAAAATAATAGAAATTGGAATAATATTAAATAAATAATTAACTAATTTATGTCTTAAAACTAAGAAAAAAAATTATGCAAAGCTCATAATTTATAAATTATTGCAACAGATCTCAAAGAGTCTTGTAATGAAGAAAGTAGATATTTATGTGCTTAATGTTTAACTCAAAAAGTAATGTAATCAACAATACACATTAATGAAGATGCTGAGAGTTTCTTAAATGATATTAAGACAGATTATCAATAAACAAAGAGTCAAAATATTGAAAAAACCTAAAATGTTCTAAATCAGCTTTAAGCTTGCATTGATGATTTAAAAAGAAATTTAGTCCTAATTTGTGAAAAAATCTCTCAATAAATTAATTAAGAAACCGATAGACTATCTAAACTATTAGAAAATTTGGATTAAACTGTTAAATCAATTGATATTTATAATTTTAATGAATTATTTCCCAAATTGTAGAACGAAGATTTAGAAAATTCAAAAAACTCATTTAAAAGCATTTTATAATCACAATTAGTTCAAATTCAAGAAAATCAAAAATTTTAAGAATTTAATCAATTACTAAATTCTTTTGAATTTTAGACTGGTTAATTAGAATTCTATTAAAGTGAATAATAATAGTAACTTTCAGAGGAAAACTAAACAGTATTAAATTAAAATATCACATTTTTAGGACACTCCTGGATTAAAAGTACTATGCTAAAGTCATAATAAAGAAATAATTGCTTTTGATTTAGATCCTGAAAGAGCTAAAGAAAATAGATTAGCTTGCATTTATTGTATAGAAGAAAATGCAATAAAATATGTTTCATTGACAAAAGTCTAAAAATAATGGAATTAGTTAGAAGAAATAAAGAAGAAAAAGCTTGAAGCATTGTAGTAAAAACATTCTGAAAATGAATAAGTTATAGTGTAATAATTAAATGTTTTCACAGAAGTATTAAAATAAAAAAATTAAGAAATTACTGATTATCTCAAAGAACATAACTCAATTATGAACAATATAGTGAATTCTGCATTATAAGGAATGAATTAAAATTGGTAAAAATTTTAAAAAAAAAACATTCTAGACATAATTGAAACTCTTTCAACTGTTCAATTAAACGAAGAGATTACATTTAAATAAGAAAAAGAAATCCTATAATAAGAAATACAATTGAAAAAAAGCGTACATGATTCCTTCTAGAAACTTAAAGAAACTTACATTTCAACATTGCAAAAGATATCAGAAAAAATTTGTTGGGATAATGATTTAATATCTTTTAATACTATAAAATTGCAGAATAAAGAACTGATTTAAACGCCAAAAGAGATTGAGTTTAATATATAAATGTAATGTGGACTAAAATAACAAAACATTAAATAAATATAAACGTAAACAGAATAATAAGCATTATAACAAGGATCAATAAATTATTTAATGCTTTAAAATCATGCTATAAAGCAAAATGATAATTTTAGAGCATTAAGTTTTACAAAAGAAAATGATTTCTTGATAGCTGGGTGTAATAAATAAATACATATATACAAATTTTGTTGGGGATAATTGGAATTGATTTAATAAATAGATAAACATGAATAAAATATTTGTTCAATTTATAGTATGAAAAAAAGTAAATCTTTCATTACAGGAGATTTCAATGGGAAAATAATTGTTTGGATTTATGATGAGAATAAGTGGAAAAGCTAAGCTGAAGTTAAAGAACATTCAGATTTTGTTAATTAGATTTTATTAAATAAGGATGAAAATGAAATGATAACATGTAGTGATGATAAAACTATTAAATTTTATACTAAAGAATAATAATAATGGAAATGTGTATAAACAATAAAGAATCACATAAATAATGTTCATGCGATATCATTAAATCCTTCAGAGAATACTTTGATTTCTTGTGGATTTGATAACATAATTTCAATTTTAGTAAAAGATTTTCTTTAAAAAGAGTGGTAGATGAAGTAAACAATTAAGTGTGAATAATATGGTTATAGAATTTGCTTCTTTAAAAATAACAGTTTCTTTTTTTAACCTTAGGGATAATAGAAAATGTAGTTATTTTAAAAATCTAGTCAAAATGGTGAATTTGAGAAAACTAAAGAATTTGAAGTGAATAAATTATATAGTAGCTGTAGTAGATGGTTCTAAATGGAATATTAAGTTTAGAATTAATTATTATTATGTAAAAATGGAAACTGTGTAAATTTATTTAAAGTGTAGGATGATTGCACTTTGAAAGCTGAATAAACTATTACATTTGAAACTTCAGGTATTTGTGGAGCTTTAACTAATGATACTTTATATTTAATTTTATGGGATGATAAATCAAAATAATTTTAGATAAGGAAACAATTTAATGAATGATATAAATAAATGAATATTTATATGAAAAGTTAATTTATATTAAAATCAACAATAATCAATCATTGATATCACTACCTGTTAGATGAGAGTGTCGTTTTTTTTTATCCTATAATTCTTCACCTTAATTTTCAAGATGTTTTGCAAAAATAACAGTCACATTCTTATCACTATTTTTACTTTATCTTTTCTAAATAATAAATAGAAAAATATACTTATTTTTCTTCATCTTCGACATTACCCATTTCATAATATTTGATATCAGCTTATAATTGATCATCTAAAGCTACTCTTTTAAGATGTTATTTTCTTTAATAGATACCACAGAAAACAGCCACTAAGATAATCATACTGTTGTAAATATAAACTGAATAACCAATATCTATATTAAATCCATACTCAGCTTATTTAGTTAATAATAATTCATTTGGATAACCTCCAGCAATAAATCCTATTGGTCTAATAATGCAGTAGGACTAAGTTATTATTTAGATATTACTCCAACTAATGAAGTTGATACAATCCCCATCTAAAGATTATATCTAAGACCAAGTAATCCAAGTATCACTCCAGAAACTATAATTGAAATTGTTAAAGGAAAGAACATTAAATCTGTCTATATTTAATAGTAAAATAATGATTGAATCATCAATGATATTATTAAACCAACACTAAATCCAAAATTAAATAAAAGGAAAAAGAATCTCTACATTGAAGTATTAAAATATATAAATGCTACTATTACACCAGATCCTACAACAACCCATAAAGCTGCATTACTAGACTCACTATTTAATGCTGCTTCTCCAATTATAATTGTAGTAAAACCAAAACCCATTATTGAACCTAAAATCATAGATGACAATTATGCTAATTAGTATCCTAAAAGTACTAAGAATATTCCTACTACCCAAAGTATTATGCAAAATAACCATTTGAAATCTATAAAAAATTAAGTCATAGGATTATAAACTAATATTGGACAAGCAGATGATGAAGTAAGAATAAATAAATATCCATCTTTATTCCAATCTTCAACTGTCATTATATCTGATTCAGAACATTTTAATTGTAATTTAAAAGTCTCTTTTTCTACAATACCTCTTCTTTCAATTATTAATCCTTAAAATGGTTTATTATCAACTAATAAATTTAATTAATTCGCATCTACATTACTTTATTCAGAAAAAGGTGTACATGTGTTCTTTTCTGAAACTATAAGTGATTATGATTAATCCTTATCTATTATTTTAAGAACATTTTTATTTTCCTTATCATCATCATCATCTGTTTTATTTTCTATTACTTAAGATTCACTAATTTTATCATCTGTTTCTGGTGGAGTTTTTGTATCAATTGTTGTGGAAGAACTACTATTACTATTTTCACCTTCTTTATTTTCATCATTTTTAGTTTCTGTTGTTGATTTATTTTCACTTGTGCTTTCAGTACTAGTTGTTGTTGTACTTGATGATGTAGTACCAGATTCAGAATTTATTTCCTCTAAAATTCGTTTGTTGCTTTATTTTTCGCATTTATAGTCTAAAAGTCCACATAAAGTAATGTATAAAGAATTTCCATCATTTCCATAAACCAAATTAATTGCTTTAGCTTTGCTGAAATCATATTTTATGTCATTGTTAAATTAAACTTGGCATGAGAATAAGGTTGTGAATAGAATTGATACTATAAAATATTTCATCATAATTAATAATCATTATTGCAATATTAAATGATAACTAAGTCCCAATAGTTCATTCGAAAAATGAAAATATTCATGAATAATTGAATAATCTTTATTATTCCCACATATTTCCTATAAATGAAAAAGCCTTATTCACAGAAAACCAAGAAATCTTTGCATTATTTAGAATTATGATGCCTAAGATTTAAAAAACCTTAGAATAGATTACAAAACATTTCCTTATCTTTCCCTGCATCAGCAATACCAATTACTAAGTCCAAGAGAATAATAACTAATTATGATTTTAAGCAATGAAGTATTATAAAAAGCTCAAACAATTTCAATAGAAATTTATTAGATAAAATCCAAGGGATTTAATGATCAATTGAGTTATCTAATAGATATTTATTTTATAAAATTTCTTTATGATAAATATAATATGTTAAAAAAATTCATTTATCAATTAATTTTCTTACTTAAAATTATTTAGTTTTGTAATCCCATGTTACTAAAAAGATGCCATCTGAACTTAAGGTCCCATAAAGATACATAGTATCAAAATTTATAGATTATTCAGTCCTATAATCTCCATTATTCATTTTATTGATAATATTTATATAGGTTCCATGTTTAGAAACAATTAAAGATCTATCCTTTTAAAAAATTAATGGAAATCCTTAAGAGCAACTCTTTTAGTTTTAAATTTCTACTGCGCTAGTTTATTAGAAAATTTATTTTTGTTTATCTAAATCGTAAAAATGTAATTGATAGCCTGATTAAATTTAAATGCAAAAGCTTTGTTCTTTAATAAATGTAAGTCTATAAATCTAATCTTCAACATTTATTGTTTAAATACAAATGAAGATCTACGTTTTTTTAAAAACTAACAATTTTTTATCAGAACTACATGAAATTAACATGGTTTCAGTAGAGTTTAAAGAAATTGCATTAACAATGCTGTTATGATTAAGTAGAGTTTATTGGCAAACCCATTTATTTGTTGAAATCAGTTTTCCGAACACCTTTATAGTTTTATCGTAGCTGCATGTAATTATTTAATCACTTATTTGACTTGATATAATTTAATTAATCTAGTCTGTATGTTCATTTAAAATTTCAAAATAATTATTCCAATTGATCTCATATTTCCAAAAATATAATTACCCTTTGGAATCTCCTGAAACAAATTAATTAAAACTTATAAAAGTAATAGCTTTAATATCACTAGAATGTTTATCAAGTTAAATTAAGTTTTTTAATTTACCATCATTAAAACAAAAGCTTGATAATTTTGAGCCACAGCCTGCTATCATGAATAGTTAACCTAAGGCTAGTGCATAACAATTTTCATTTTATTGTCTATTTTCTGCAGGTAAAATATCATACTTAAATTTGAAATTTTTTTAAAACTCTTATATCTAAATTTAGTTTAATTTTATTTAAAGTTTAGGTTATACAGTCATTTTTAAAGACATAGAAATCTCCTTCTTATTTATATTAAGTTAATGTTTAGTAATCTAAGAAGATAATTCAATTATTTTTTTTTAAACGCATAATTTACTTGGAATTTTTAGAGATTATTTAAAATTGATTATTTAATTATGGAAACTGAAAAGAGGTTAAGTAGATTAAATTTTTTAAGAAAATTGTATCTCTTTCTTTTTTATTTATAAATTAGATTTTATTTTAATCATTTTAGTGATTAAGTAAAAACTTTCTTTAAAAGTTTCTCTAATTTTTTATATTGAATCAAAAATATTTTAATTAATGGATTATTCCTAATTGGAATAATATTTTTGAATTTTGATTGAAAACTCTTCTTTATAAGTGGGTTTTATTAATTTTTGAATTTTGTTTAATATTTTTTTTTTTGGACAATTCGCCCAGTTCTTCCCCATTTAACTAAATATTTATTCTATTTATTCGTTTAATTTGGAATGAAAATCATTCAAATTTTATTTTATTTAATTATTCATTTCTTCATGTGCTTCATTTATTATTTAAAGCTATTCAAAAATTTGATCTTTATTCTAAATATATTAACTTACTATTTCTTAAAATTTCAATCTTTTAAATTCCTCAAACATTTTCCATTTTTCTTATACTGTTTTAAGAGATGTGTATTAATTTGGATTTTATTCAATACAATGAATACAAGCCATTCTATTTTCTTTTGCACGGTTATTATTCATATCAAAAGCTATTATTTATTTCATATGTTCTTGGCATACTATCTTCAAACTAGGAGTAGCCTAAATTATTAAATAAAATTACAATAATATTTAGTTCTTCAAAATTAAACTCTCTGCAAAACTTTAATTCCTCCTCCTCTTCTTTTAAATTCTCAATTTCTTAAATACATTATTAAAGACTTAAATTATTTTTTATTTACTCTAAGGATGCTCTAATATAAAACTTGAAATTTTCAATTTAACTTACATTCTCCTCTGATTTGAACTTTATCTATGAAAAATTATTAATATCAACTTCATTAAGTGATTTCTCTAAGAGGTGAAATTAATATTACAATCTTATTTTTTCAGTTGATAGATTTTCGAAGATTTTATCAAAAGCCTATTAAAATGAACTTTTCAAAGTCAATACAATATTTTAGACATGTTCAAGAACCATAATATTGTTTTTTAAATAAATTCTTTTTTTCTCTAAAAAGTTATTCCGAATTTCTTCTATATGTTCTTAAACCTCACTATTTATAAATAAAGTTCCATCATTAGTTTTTTCAACAAGACACTTACTGCAATATTATCGTGATTAACAATCAGAGTTTGGATCCAAATTAGCAGCTACTATTTATAATTGATGAATTATGCATATATTCTCCTATATAAAATTGGACATATAATTTTTAAATATAATATATGAAATGATTTTTAATTTTTATTTCTATTGTATATCTTTGATAATCATGTTTTTCTACTAATAATTGTATAATTAATAATTAAAAATATCTTAAATTATTTGAATTAGAATTTAATGGATAACTCAAGCAGTAATAGAAAATGTTAAGTACATAATGAAAGTGTGATAGCTACAAGTCTTAATTCTTCATCTGATGAACAGAATAGATATTTTTGTAGCAAATGCCTTGTGTTAAAGATCAACGATAAGTCTCTACATACTAATCCTGATGCATAATAGAGAATAGATTTGATGAAGTCTGAGTTTGAAAAAAAAACAAAAAATTTGACGAACTAAAATAAAGATGTTCTAAAATAATTTTCTTAGAACATTTTAACATTCAAAGGATTTCTTGATCAAATTTTAAATGAAATAAACAGTTCCATACTAAATGAGATAAGCAGATTGGAGAATCTTTAAGAATAAATAGAGGAAAGTATCAGAACTATTGATATATATAATTTTGATAAAATCGAAGCAGCACAAAGATTACTTGATTAGCAATTTTCTAAATTTCGTACCTCTATTCATTAATAAATAAGTAAATTGGAAGAAAATTTAAAATTTGAATAATATTTAAAGTATTTAGAAGAACTAAAAGATGAAGTACAGATATTGATTTGGTAGAAAACAGAATAGGAAACATAAGATGAAAATTAAATTGTATTCTATCCATAAAAAATTCTTAGGCAACCCCTGGATTGAAGATCTTTTGTTAAAAGCATAAGACTGAAATTATTGCATTCGATTTGAATCCTTAAAGAGCTAAAGAGAATAGATTAGCATGTATTTATTGTATTGAATAAAATACTATTCCATATTCATCTTTGATTAGAGTAATAGAAAAATGGAAGAAGTATGAAGAACTTAAAAAATCCAAATTATTATCAATTTAATAGAAACATTAAGATAATAAATAGGTCATCATTTAGTAATTGGCTCTAATACATAATGCTAGTCAATAGAAAAATGAAGAATTGACTAAGAGTCTTAAAGAATTTTGTTATTTTATTGATGGATCTGTAAATAAATTAATAGGTTAAATGGGGAGAAATTGGTCTACTTAAACTTAAAAGGAAATTCTGGATAATGTTGATATATTAAGCAAATCAATTTAAAATGATGAAGTCATTTTAAATGAGGATAACTATTATTAAAAAGAAGAAACTTAAATTAACAGATCAATTTTAGATTCCATTGAGAAAATTAAAGAAACCTGTTTGTAATGTTGTTAAAGAATTCAAAATACTGTAAAAGTGTCTCTAAGGGAAACTTTAACCACATAATAATGATTTGACTATCTTTATTGTGAACCTATTAAATTATATATTTAATCGTTTGAACTATCTAATTATTACTAATTTTTTAATCATAAATTCAAATTTTGCACAATATTAGGAAAATAAGATATTTATTATAGTAAATGAGTAAGGGTAATTAAATAAATAATTTTCAAATAGGAAAAGTAACTTTTTTTTATTTCTTAATAATTGCCTTATTTTCCATTTTCTTAATTAATAATTATAATGATTGAGCTGATCATAGGTTTTTGTCTAAATAATATTTTTTCTTTATTTATCATTAGTTATTCAAGTATCTTTCTTATTTTTTTATTTTTTTATTCATCAAGTATTAAGATTTAAGGGTTTTTATTTCTTGTAGTTAATTTTTATTTCAATCTTTGGCAGCTATGATTTTTGGAAGAATATTATGAAATTTATTGGTTTCCAATTGTGATCCTAAATTTTGGTTAATAGGAAAAGAAATTGCCTCAAAAATTAATGAGTTCTTTTGATTGCTAATTATTTTGTTATATGGTTAGAATTATCTTATGTAAATACAAGCTGTTAATTACTTGAAATAATTATATTAGTTTCAATTTATATTCGATTTGACTAATATTCAAAAAATGATAATAATTTGGCTTTTTTTGGAGGGTAATGTAATTATTATTGAAGCTATTTATTGAGATTGAAATCATTATATAGTCTAAAAAATTATAGGGATCGAAGTTATCTAAATTAAATGACTAATCAAAATATGAATTCATAATTATTAATAATATGGCAGAAGAGATTTCAATTACTTTTGATGAATAAAATAAAATAAGAGTGCTAGATGCTGAAAAATATAGAGAGACAGAATAGTTGAAGATAGAAAGCATGGATTTTATTAAAAAGGTGCTGGCTTTGGATGAGGTCGTTCAAAATTTGAATGAGACCCTTGAAGAATATTCAAAAAAAATAGAAATAGAGAAGTTAAGAGCAATAGGAGAGGTACTAGTATTTGAATAAAAAAGCGAAATAAAGTAGAAACAGAGTAGGAAAATAGAAAGAAGAAGTTGATGGAGTTATCCAATATATTAAATGAAAGAAAGGCTGAATTAGATAGATATTAAATAGAGTTAGATAGTTTATAGAAAGTTGAATAGGATTAAAGAATATTAATTGAGAAACTAAGCAATAATGAGGCATGATAAGTTAATTAAAAATATAAAATTATATGTTCCATTAATCTTAATCTCTAAATAATCTTAAAAGAGATCATCGCCTGAAACCGTTACAAATAGCAGGAAGATATCCAGAAAGTGCTGATTTGAATAATAAGTCGAAGTTCTTTTTGCCTTAGATAAAAATGATTGAACAGAGTAGTGTGTTTACAGAAAAATAAAAGTAGCTGCGATTACCTCAATTATAAAATCATTTGGCTGCAAGTGATTAACTCTAACGTAAAAAGATTGAGATAAGAAAGTCTATTACACCAAAATATTAAAAGAGATAAACAACTATTTATGCAATGAGAACTAAAGCTGGATGTTAAATTAATAAGGCAGCAAAAATCAATTAGGATTAAGCCATATTATGTCCCAAAATTCTAGAGAAGTATAGATATATGATAACCAATAGTATTGGGTATAAGTTATTCGCAGTTTCAGATGGACATGGTCTTAATGGTCATCATGTATCTAATTTTATTAAATAAACACTCCCTAAATATTTACATAAGTATTTGGGAGATAATCATGAAGATATTTAAATGCAAATATCTCGAGCATTTGCAATAACAAATAGAGAAATTTGGAACTCTGACACTGACACAAATCTTTCTGGTTCTACAACAGCTTCAGTGCTTATCACAAAGGATATTGTAGATACATATATTTATGATTGTTTTTAGATTTATACAGCCAATGTTGGAGATTCAAGAGCCATTTTATGTAGGTTTGATTAAGTTTGGTAAATCGTACCATTAACAAGAGATCATAAACCAGATGATCCTGAAGAAATCAAAAATATTGTTAATGCTGGAGGAAGAGTAGAGAAATAGAGAGGTAAATTATGATGTTATGTAGATTTTCATGGAAATCCAATTGGACCTTTTAGAGTTTGGTTACAGTATATTCAAGCCCCAGGTTTAGCAATGTCTAGATCATTTGGAGATAAAGTTGGAGCCTAGGCAGGAGTTACAGCAATACCAGAAATCAAAGAATTTATATTGACTAATCATGATTAATTTATTATTGTAGCTTCTGATGGAGTTTGGGAATATTTGAGTAATGAAGAAGTATATTATTTAATAATTAGGTTATGAGTATAGTAATACCTTACTTTGAAAAGGATAATCCAGACCTAGCTGCTGAAAAAGTAGTCAATGAAGCTATACAAGCATGGAGAAGAGTAAATACTCTTTTTTTTAAATTTAGAATAGCTTAGCAAGAGATGATATCACTTGCATTATCATCTTTCTATGACTTCAATAAGAAAAGAAATTATGAATAAAATCTATTTTTGTTCTTATTTTTATTAAAAATTAAATCTATAAATTTTTCAACATAAATTTACTTTTTATAATAGTATACTACAAAATATTCTTTGCTGTAGACTATTTTTTATTGACCTCTGTGTACCATGTGCAACGAAGAATAAAGTTAATTCCCAGCCAGAATTAACAGCAAAATTGATTTGCTCTGCTTTTACATAATAATTCTATAGAGATATTGTTTGATAAATATGAAACAAAATTTATTAGATTTTGTTTCAATAGAGAATTTTTGTAGTAGAGTTGCAAATCAAATTGAAACACAAAAAGAATCAAATATAATGATTTCCATTTTGAGATTGGATTTTTGTTTAATTTAGATGTGGGTATAAAAAGATTAAATATTAAGAAAGATGTTCAAAATGCTTTTTATAGATTTAAGCAAAAGTTAATAATAATAATAATCATTTTTTTTATTTATAAATTTTTATTAATAAAATGTTTAAATTTGGATCAGAGAAATTCACAAAGAAGTCATTACCCAAGAATTTTGCAGATCAGATTCTTAATCTTGAAATGGAGATTGAGTTGAATGATCAAGTTTAAATAGAACTTATACAAGATTTAATCTCTCTTTATATGGTAATTCTTTGTAAATACTTATTATTTTAGGAGGGAGTGGAATATTATGAATCCATAAAAGACAGAAGACATCTCTATTTCTAGAGAAAGCTGAATGCACTAATGTTAAAACCAACCTTTATAAATGCTACTACGAAATATGAAGAATCTCAAAAACCCAAAGAGGATAATCAAAATAAAAGAGCTAAATTTCAAGAGCAAACGCGTAGAATTGAACTTGATCTCATTTACAGTTAAACTGAATCTAAAGAGGTATTCTTTACATTTTGTGATTGAGGCTCAAGTTAAAGGAATTGTAGACAACCACACAAATTAAGTCATGAAAATTGAAAGGCTTATTAAAAATGAAATTGCTAATCAATCTGATGCATTTCAATAACGTCTCGAACGTCGTCGTCGTTCAAAATTGACTCATTCGCTTAGTCAACCTGAGATTGATCTACAATCTTAAAAGTCTGGTAATAGCAATAAGAAGAAATAAATTGAATTACATGAATAAATAGGTATTTGGAAAACCATGACCTTTTAGTTTAAATCAAGTAAATAATTCATGAAGAAGATGAAACAGCTGCTATCAGAAAAGATTCCACATTATAAAAAACCTAAGAAAAGAAGTGGGAAATCATCCATTAAGCATCAATAATATAAGAGAATAAGTAAATTCTAGTAAATTAAATTCCAGGAAACGAACTAATAGTTTGATATAGAGAAGAAGATCTGTATTTTTGACTACTAAACAATTGACATCAATTAAAAGATCCCTAAGTTGTGGAGCCACAAAACCTATAGAAGAACCAAAGAATGACTGAAGATCTATTTAAAATAATTATTAATAAAAATTAATTTACTTTCTTAAATACTTCCAATCTCTTAATTTTTAAACATTAATTTTCATTTATTATTATTTATATATAAACTTTCACTTTTTGTTTTTCATTTATTAATTTTTCATATATTACTATTTCAAAACTTATATTGGGTATTGTAACGCAACATTTTTAGAATTCAATCTTTTTTTCTTTCTTTTTTAAATCATTTTTCAAACCTTATAGTTATTTATATTTTAATTGATAATTTTATGAGTTAACTTGAAGATGGTGAGGTCCCAACTAAACAGGAACCCAAAAAAAATCCTACATCAATTTTCTCCTCTACATATAGAACTAAAGTTTGTGAACACTTCAAAAAAGGCTCGTGTAATAAAGGCAATAAGTGTTCTTATATGCATCCCAAAGAGTTACAGAATGTCACTCGTATCTGTAAGTATTACTTAGGGCAAGGATGCTAAAATTAACAACAATGCTAATATTCACATGATTTATCAAAATACTAATGCAAATTTTTTTTTGCCATGAGTCATTGTAAAGGACAGAATTGTCGCTTTTCTCATGACCTTTGGGAAAATGAAATTGCTAAACAATAATGGGCTGCTGATAATGATCAATTTTTAAGGGATTGCTATTAACGAAGAGTAATTACATTATTTTATTTTAGGGGACTACTGGTTTGGGACCAGCCTATGATGAATAGTACAAAATGAAAGTTTTTGAATAATAGAAAACTAATTCAAGTAAGTATTTATATATTCTTTTAAGACCAGAGAGCATATCCTTACTATCCCATTAATTATATGGCACCTCAAACTTAAATCCCAGTAAGCATTTTATAACAAATATCTCCTCAAATTCCTTAAGAAAGAACTAAATTATCTATTAATGATTTAGATCCAATAAGCGATGAAGAATAATAAGGAGACAAAAACAAACAACCAATTTTAAATATCTTTGAATAACAAAATGCTTATTAGTTACCTTAGATTGGTATTTCGCCCATTCCACAAATTCAACCTTTCCCAATGAATACCTAATACATTCCATAAAGGTTAGGTATGAATTAATAAAATTAAATTTTTTATTCCTAAACTGTTCTTCCTAATTAACCACAATAATAGTAGATGTTTTAATAACCGCATTAATCATATTAATAAGTGAAATATTATTAATAGACTTAAATTTTTATGCCCTAATATCATCAACAGTAACCATACTAAATATCATAATAGTAAACACTTAGTGAAGATTAAAAAGATTAAATATTGCAATAATAATAATAATAATAACAGTAGAAATAATCATAATTATAATAGTTATAATAATCATAATAAATGTAATAACAACATCAACAACAATAATTTTTGTAATAGTAATAATCATAATAATAATTATAATAATAATAACCAATACAATAATAACCATCATCATAAATATAATAATAATTATAATAATAAACATAATAATCATCACAATAATAATAATAATTAATATCATCATAACAATAATAATAAACATAGCAATAATTATAATAATAGACATAATAATAATAAACATAATGCAGTTCAACTAATAAAGATAATAAAGAAAAGTTTAATTCTAAATAATAAAACAAGAAAAGTTCGGATAAAAAATTGAAAAAAATAAACAAATAAAAATCTTAAAAAAAAAAAAATAAAAAAAAGAGAGAAACTATCAAATAAATTAAAGATAGATTAAGAAAATAAAAGAGTAAAATAAAGACAATATAAATTGCTCCAGAAATACCTGAGGAATCGTACAAAGCTGGCCCAATAAGTAAACATATTGGAATAACAATAAGAAAGCCTGTACTATAATATTTTTTGGGTTTTTGATTCATCATAAAAAGATCATTAAAAAAGATCAATAAATTTGTTAATTATATATAATTATTAAGACTTATGAATATTAGGATGAAAAAAAGCTAAAAAATAGATTTTATTAGATTAATTTTATAAGAATAATTGAAAAATGAAAAAATTGCTGGCAGCATAAAAGTCAATAGGATTCATTCGATCAATTAGAGAAATCTTCGATGAAGAGTATAATGAACATGCTTAGGAATATGATGATATATTATAGAGCCTAAAAGGAAAACAATAATATTAGTTTACAGATTATAATTTTCCTCCTTAGAGCAGTTCATTAAGTTTATAAGAATTACCAAGGAGTAAAATAATAAAAGAAAGTAGGTTGGAACAATTTGAGTTGGAAAAGAGCAAGGGAGATTTTTGAAGATTATGATATATTTAATGGATGCATATAGCCATCAGACATAAAATAAGGGATATTGGGAGATTGTTATTTTTTATGTGCACTTAGTGTGATAGCAGAGAAATGTGAATTAGTGAAGCGTCTATTTCATAACAGTGAAATGAATGATTATGGGTTGTATGCAGTATGGTTAAATATAAATGGAGAATGGACATCTGTAGTAGTTGATGATTATTTTCCATGTATAGATAATTAACCAGCCTTTAGTAGAGCAAATGGATTATGGGTTATGCTTTTAGAGAAGGCATATGCAAAAGTGTATGGATCATATTTGAATATAGAAGGAGGGAATCCAGCAATAGCAATGAGAGATTTGACAGGAGCACCATATGAAAATAAAGAAAATGGTTCAGCTTAAGAATTTTGGGATTATTGTGAGTAAAATCATGATTAAGGGTTTTTATTAACAGCATATACAAAAGAGGCAGAATTAGTTAATCATGAAAATGAATTAGGATTGTTAGCAGGACATGCATATGCAATATTAAAATTGGCTAATGTATAGGATTCGAATAATAAAATATGTAGAATAATGTAGATGAGAAATGTAAAAAATATATAACAATACTATAGCCATGGGGAAGAGTAGAATGGAAGGGAGATTGGTGTGATAGTAGTAAAAAGTGGACAGAATAAACAAAATAATAATACAGTGTGGAAGATAATGATGATGGCATCTTTTGGATGTCAATTGAAGATTTTAGAACATTCTTTGCAGGTATTGGAGTATGCAAAATCAAAAATGACTATATATATAATAGTATTCAATGTTAGTTGAATGAAAATAATTGCTGCATAATACATTTAGATATGGTAGAAGATTCTCATATTTATATTTCATTTAATTAAAATGATAATAGATTTCATCTTAATTAAATTTCTGATTATAGATATTCCTTTGTCAGAATCATAGTATCATAATTAATTAATAATTCACTGAAATATATTTCAGGTATATATAGAGCTGATAGAAATGTTGTGGTTGATTAGAATTTAAAAAAAGGACAATACTTAATTTTTATTGAATTATAGTGGTAATATCCATAAATCTAAATCATAAGCACTTTAAGTACTTATGCAAGTAAAAAAGCAAAACTTAAACGTATAAATGGTTTGGATTATTTAAATTCTATTAGAAATATCATTAAAGATTACTCTGATAATAATGCTCATAAACTCAAAGAAATTAACTATTTAGATCAATACAACAAAAATATATTTAAAAGAATTGGAATTGTTGATGGATATTTATTCCTTCATTACCAAAATCAAACCTTTGATAGTATTTTATAAGAAGTTATTAATTTTACTGATACTATTGGATATATTCCAAAATCTCCTTTATAAGCTACTAATTTTACTAAGGATGGATAATTAAAGATCTAATTTACCTCTCCTCCTTAATCTGTTGTAATCATTTTATTTTCCTAAGTAAAATTCATTCATGAAAATAGGTTAGAAGTTCTATTGGAAAATGCTAATATACTTAACAATCATAAAGCCAAATCGTATGTATTCCATAAAAACATGAATAATATGATAACAATTAATTCATTCTAAAGTAATTGGATCTCTCTTAGATGTAATTAGTAGGTAGACACAAATTAAATGTCAAATATTACTAAGAACATTCTCAATCTAAATTTAAGAATTCTAATTTAATTAAAATATTTCAATCTTAACCAGAAAATGTTGAGATTTCCAGTTTAGAAACTTCACTTTTTTATTATTTCCATGATTTCCTTTCAGGTATTATGTTTTTTAATTCCTAGAAAATTGGGAACCTTTTATATTTTATATTTTACTACTAAACTTGCTATTCATCCTGATATTAAATAATCATAGAACTCATTATGCTCAAGTAATCATATCCAAATAATTTAGATAACTAACATTCTAATATTTATTAATTAGATTTTAGGTGGTCAAAAATTCAGAAAATCTTTAATTCGCACTTTGTCCAAAGCACAATTCATTTCAATATTTTTAGAGATTTTAATTATGTTGTTGGGTTTCGAATCTTAATATTTTGTTCTCCCTCTAAATCAATTAACAGTACTTTATAAGCTTTTACTTATTATTACTATTTTTCTAAATTTCTTACTTTTTGTGTGTATACTCAAATTCCTTATTCATTATGAGACGATTGAGGCTGAAATTTTCAATCCAATGCAAATAAGGTATAGATTTATCTTAATTTAGATTTAATAATTATTTAAATAAATTATCATAGGTATGATATGAATTTTATATTATAAAATAATTTGATCATATCTTTTAATAATTAAGTTCTTATGATTACGTTTAAGCTAACATTTCGAACTTTCTTTTTTCTGGCTTCGTTTCTAAATTAATTTTATAATTCTCAGAATGATCTGATTATTTTCTTTTTGGAAAATATTCAGAATTTTATTTTTTAAAGCATTATGTCTTACTTTTTGTTCTAGTTTGTATATGATCATCATTTAGCTCTCCACTAACATTCGAACTTCTACATAATCTTAAATTCTTTTTTCTCCAATGATTCACAAGAATATCTGGAGAATCTGGATTAACAAAGGGTTTTTTTGACACGTCTTCGATTAATTCTAAAATGAAAAATATAATTACTAGTTTGTATTTCTTTACTATTTTCAATATTTGTTTTATTATTTGTAATTTCAAATATTTAATTATTTTTATTTTCGATTTTTTAATTATTAGTAACTTCAATTTTTTAATTATTATCTTCAATTTGTGAATTATTCTTATCTATAATTTTTTAATTATTATTATCTACAATGGGTTAATTATTGTTATCTTCAATTTTTTAATTATTATTATCTTCAATTAATTAATTAAAATAATCAATATCCCCAAACTTTACTATAGATTTGGGTTAATCACTGTTATTAGACTCATCAAAATTTTAGACTGTTACTGGATTAATTGGCCTTTCCTCAAGTAAAATTTATTTTTAATTTGATATATCTCCAAATTGTTAAATGATTTATTGTCTATTTTACTGAAGATTTTAATCAATCATATAACTACTATTAGTATCACTTATCAAAGATGAAATTAAATTTGTTGTAGTTTCCTCATCCTCTATACAATTTGGATTTTATCCTAACAAATAAGAATTTTCATTTTAAAATATATTTTATAACCTATTAATGTAATTCTACCATGATTCTTCTTTAAATTCATTTTTCAATAAATATGAAAGCCTATTAACCATTCCTTAAAAACCTATTGTTATCTATTTTTTTATTTATCCTACTTGTTATCTTTCATAATAGTTTAGATATTATAAAAATCCACAAATATTTGCATCTATGTATGCCTAACGAATTTCAATTTGATCCTCATTTTGCATTACTTATTCAACAATCTCTAAAAATAGATTCTAAATTGAATTATTAAAATAATGTTTCTAAATCAATTCCATAATTGTAAAACAGATATTCTAATGTTAAAAATAGTTTATTATATTTAGATTATTTTGTTTTAATACTTTACAATAAAATTCTATTAATTTTATTTTGAATTATCCTAAAGGTATCTAATACGTCCCATAAGAAGTCTGAAATGGAGCTATTAATGTAAAAAAATTAATTACGCAAATTTAATTCTATTTTAAGCAAATCTACTAAATTATAACTAAATTCTTATAATAAGTAATAGTTATATTTGCCTTATTAATTTACAAAATTATGATCTTGCCAAATTTGCTCAAGTATTACTATCAATAAATCAATCAATTCACTTGATTTACTAGTTGGCTAAATAAATTAAAATTTTTCATACAAAACAACTAAACTGAAGCTTTGAATTCAATATACTAGATATAAATTGTTCTTTTTCTTTTATTTCGTTTGTCTCTGTCAAAAGATTTTTTAAAATATAACAAACATTTTCCACAATCAAAGAATTATAACTTTTTTATTACATACTGTCAATAATGCGAAGTAATAAAGATATCCTCTGATTTAAAAATACATCATCACCTTCATTTCTAATTGTATCAAATCGAATTAGGTTGAATAATATATCTGCTATATGGAAAACATCTAAATGTTTAATAAAATCCTCTAATACATTTTTACTCTCTTTTTGTGGATTTATTAAATATTACCAAAGCTTAAACTTATTTTAATAGAATTACATCAAATCCTCTCTTGTCTATGATCGCTTTTACAATTTTACAAAAATAGCCTGCTTAGGTGTAATCGATGCAATCCCTATCAATTGTTTTAAACAGAAAATTAAGGGATTCACATTATTCTGGACCTTTTGAATAAAAAAAATAATCAATAATAAATTCCTCCTTTCTTCCAATTATTTCGCTTATAAAAAAAGGATACCTAGAATCTTTTCAGATATTACTTTTTTTAAATATTTTCAACATCTACATCTTCTGAGTTATATATTATTTTTAACATTTCCCAAAAGCGTTCTGGATATTATGTTACGCTAATTATTTACTCAAATTTTTACTATTCACCAAATATTTTACCATTCTATTTTGAATCCCACTAATCATCTTGATCTAACACTTCTGTAATTTAAGCATTTGGATTTTCTTTTATAAATTTACTCAAAGGATTTAATACTGTTTACTAATTTTTTATTTAAGCTCTCCTTTAACTATTTTATAACATTTTATTACCTCATCTGAAGGAAATTAATATAATATTTTTATTTTTATATTTGATTTTTAATTCTGTGTTTTATAGAAATTTTTATTCAAGACTTAAATAATTTGATAGAATTGATGTTAAATTTAAATGCACTTTTTGAAATCCAAAGCAATATTCTATTATTGTATACATTAAGAAATTTCACTAGTGACTATTCTTAATCTTTTTAATTTTTTATCATTTTAATAAATTTTTAATGTAACGTTATAGATTTTATGAAAAAATTATTGTTTAATAAAATGATATTTTTTGAAATGCTAATAAAAAATAAGTAGAATTCCTTTTAATAAAAACTCTCTTAAAAAAATAAATAAAATATAAGCAATAATTATTTTACTTTTTTCTTCAATCTAAATTTTTATTAAAAAGAATTATAATAAACTAGATTCTAAAAAAATCCTAATTGAAAGTGAAATGAATTAAGAATGTTAAAAAAGGCAGAACTATTTGAGGATTCAAAATTCTATTAAAAATCTGACTTTTATTATTTAAGGGAAAATTGTAAAATCATAGGCTACTTAAAATACTAATTTATTTGTAATATTTTAATAAAAAGTCTTCTTGTAAAAATATATAATTAATCAGAATAGCGACGTTTGATTCATCAATCTCAGACGAACGAGACCGAGTTTATCCTCATATAATAATACTATAATTCTTAAATAATAATAAGTTTTTATTAAAACTAATTAATATTATGGGATAATTAATTGATAAAAAAATAGTTAATTATCAATGGTTTGTAAATTATCTCTATAAAAGTTTTGCATATTTTTGCATATTTTTGGATGATTATAACCTTTAGAATGTAATTTGTAAATTTTAAATTCTACCATTGAAAATATAATTATTTATTTAATGAGTTTGGATGATTTTGTTTTTTTAATAAATTTTACAATAAATAATATAAAGTTTATGTAAAATAAATCTTTGGAGTGCATTATAAATGGACTAGAAAGAGAGGCATATTAAAAGAAATGCAAAGTTAAAGAACTTGAAAAGTATTCATTTTGAGAATTTTAGGGTTGTAAGCTAATTGAACAGAACAATATAATAATAAAACTTTAAAATTAATGAATTGGAGAAAAAAAATATTGACTTAGAAATTAAATATTTTGAGATTTTAGAATAAAAAAAATAAATTGAGCAATATAACACTATGCTGGATTAGCAAATAAAAAATTTATAATAGTAAATTTTGCATAAAGTGTAAAGCACAGATGTACATATTTTATTAAATAGGGAAGTAGTAGATAGATTTGGAATATGATTTAAAAGAGAAAAAGAATTAGATCTTTTTATTGGAAAAGGAGAATCAAATATTGAGAAATGAATAAGATCATTTAAAGTTAGAGCGGTAAAAACTAGAAGAGGAATTAAGAACAAGAAGTTTAAATTAAATAATTTATATTAATAATAATGCATTAACTGAAGTGTTATAGAATTATAACCAATATTTTGAGAGTTATAATGAAGAGAAACAAAAATTAATAAATTAAATACAATAATATAAAGTTTAAGAAGAGAAGACAAGTAAATAAGAATTTATTATATTAGAAATTGAAAATTAAAAAAGAATTGATAGATTCTAAGTGATTATACGAAATGGAGAAGAGAAAAAAAAGAATCTTGAAGAAAAGATTTTGAACTTAGAGAATAAAATAGAAATTTATGAGAAGAGTTTGGAAGATTAAAAGATGTTGTTAAATCAATAAGAATAATTGAGATTGGAATTTGAATAAAATGCATAAGTAAAATAATATTAAAATGAATGTTTATTGAAAGAACAAAATGAATAGATAACAAAATTGCAATAAAAAATAAATTCTTCAAATTCTATTGTATTTGATATAGTAAATATGATAATACCTACTGATATGGAAGATTTAGTAGAAATAAAATAGTAATTATTGAAGAAGGAAGAGGAGTTGAAAGTTTTGAGGGAATTAAAAAAAAAGGAAAGTTAAGAAAAGAGGAAACTTCAAGAATTAGTGGAAAAAGAATTACCATTTGTAAAACAAAGGAAATAAGAATTTGATTAATTGATGACTATTTCTCAATAATAGAAAAAAAGGTTAGAAATAGAAATAAATTTAAACAGAAAATTAAAGGAGACTTAAAATTAATTAGAAATAGAATTATAATAATTAAAATAAAAAGATGAAATTCACACAGTTGAAATTATAAAATTGAGATCAGAAAATCTTGAATGCAGAACATAAGTAGCTTAAGCTTAAAATGTAGATGTATAAGTATACATAAGTCAGTTATGTTAAGAGAATTAACAATTAAAGAACTAAATTGAATAGATTTAAATAAATTATCAAACTTACAATAGACCATTAAATTAATGGGAAACATTAGAAAAGGAGAATTAGAATTTATAATATATATTAAAGATAAAAGAGGAAGAGATATTAAATATGAGAGAGTAGGTTAGTATAATGAGTTAAGAGAAACAATTAGGATAGATTATAAAAAATAATATAGAACCAATTGTTCATAAAATTGAAAGTAATATTATTATAAAATTATAATTAGAGATCAAGGTAAGAAGTGAAAAAAAGTAGAGTTTATTAAATGAATTTAGAAATAAAAGGAAGGAAAATTAGAAATTACAATTTAAAATAGAAGAATTAGATTTTGAGATATCTAAATTACAAAGTTAATATTAATTGGAAAGATAATAGAAAGAATTCTTAGAAAAGAGATTAAATGAATAAAAGGATGATTTTGGAAGGAAGAAAGAATAATTTAGAAAGAGATATGAAGAGTTTGAATTTAAAATAAAAGAATTGTAATCAGAAATGAATTTAAGTTCTATAACTTAGGAACATATTAATTATTATTAATAAAACTAAGTTTTGTATTAATAAACTATAAAGGATAAGAAATTAATAAATGAGTAACATATTGAAATGAAAAGATATGGTGAAGAGATTTAAAGACTAAGAGAAGAATTATTATCAAAAGAAAGATAAATAAAAGAGTTGAAAGGTGGAGATTAAATAGGAGAGGAGAATTAATAAATATTAGAAATGAAAATAGAAAGAGATAATGATAAAATAATAATAGATGGTTTAAAATAGGAGATAAATAAATAAATAAAAGAGAAGGAAGAATTATATAATAATTTTTTGATTCAGAAAAAATAAAATGAATAACTTTAACAGGACTAAAATAATTAATAACCAAATTAAGAATGGAAGAAAAGTATTGAATTAATGTAATAGAGAATAATTGAATCAAAGAAGGAATCTGAGAAGAGATTTGAAGAATTAAAGATAGAATATTAAAATAAGATTGGAGAGAAGAGAAATGAAATTTAAAAAATGGAATAAGAGATTAAGGAACTTAGATAAGGACTTGATGATTATAAAAGAATTTATTAATAGGAGAAATTAAATTAAATTGATAAATCAGGATTGAGTTAAAATGAGATATAAGATTTAAAAGATAAATTAGATTAAACTATGAGAGAAAGAGATTAATTATTAAGAAGGAAATAGATGATGGAAAAAAGAGAAGAATTTTTGAGGATAAAGGAAGAGTAATTAAATTCAAGAGAATTAGAAATAAATAAGGATAAGAATAAATTTGAATAAGAGAAAGTCAAAGAAATCTAAGAAAAAACAATACTTAAGAATATAGAATTATCAATAATAGGATATGAACATGTTTTATAAAGAGAACTTGATGAATATAAATAGAAATTTGAAAAGGAATAGAATAAAGTAAAGTAATTAGAGTAACAGTAACAATTAATTAAAATTTAAGATGATTATATAAATAAAAAGAAATAATAAAATAATGTAAGATAATAAGAATATAGTGTTGAAGGAATGATAGTAGATAAAGAAATGTTAGAAGAAGAAGACCCTATTTTATAAGAAGTTAGATAAATTTTTTAATAATGTTTGCAGGAAAAAGTGAAACCCGAAGAATTAAAATAAGCTTTTGAAATAGTATTAAATGGTAAATTGCTTGCTTATTTAGAAAAAGCGAAGTAGATTCATTAAGGCCTAATAAATAGTAGAGAAGAAATTTGATTGCAATTTTGATTGATGTATTTGTTATGATAAAACAATAATTCATAATTATAAATTGTAATTTCTCAACTGTTACTAAAATATTGATTATTAAAATATAAATAAATGCCTGCAGAATGTGTCAAAGTTATTGTCAGAATGCGTCCATTTAATCAAAGAGAAAAAGAAAATGGAAGCAAACCATGTGTTACAGTTTATGAAGATACTAATGCAGTTGAATTACGAAATGTATGCTATTTTAAACATTAGTATATTAGACATAAGATAATGATGTTAAATCATATACATACGATTATGTATTTGGAGCTGAAACACCATAATTATCAATTTATTAAAAAACTGCTTTTAATTTAGTTGAGAGTGTTGCAGATGGTTATAATGGAACAATATTTGCATATGGTTAAACAGGTATTAATATCGAATTTATAAAATAAGGTTGTGGTAAAACTTTCACTATGATTGGAGATCCAAATAGTGTAATATTATTATTCATTAATAGGAAACTATGAAAGGAATTATACCTAGAACTTTTGATTAAATAATCAACATTATTAATAATAATTCAGACACAAATAAAAAATTTTTACTTCGTTGTTCCTATATAGAAATTTATAATGAAGAAATACATGATTTATTAAGTAAGGATGTGAAATACAAATATGAATTAAAAGAAGGATAATAAGGAGTTTTTATTAAGGATTTAAATATTGCAGTTGTTAGAACAACTTAAGAAATGGATAAATATATGTAATTAGGTACCTAAAACAGATCAGTCGGAGCAACAGCCATGAATAAAGAATCTAGTCGTAGTCATTGCATTTTTACTGTTTACATAGAATGTTCTGTTACAGATCAAAAAGGAAACGAAAGAATTACTGCTGGAAAATTAAATCTAGTTGATTTAGCAGGAAGTGAAAGACAATCAAAAACTCAAGCAACAGGAGACAGATTAAAAGAGGCAACCAAAATTAATTTATCTTTGTCGGCCTTAGGTAATGTAATCTCAGCTCTAGTTGATGGTAAGACATCACATATCCCTTACAGAGATTCTAAACTAACAAGATTACTCTAAGATTCTTTAGGAGGAAATACAAAAACTATTATGATTACTGCTATTAGTCCGTCTGATTTTAACTATGATGAAACTCTATCTAGTTTAAGATATGCTTCAAGAGCTAAAATGATAAAAAATTAACCTAAAGTTAATGAAGATCCAAAAGATGCTTTATTGAAAGAACAAGCTGAAGAAATAAAGAGACTTAAAGAAATGCTTACAAAATAAGCAGCTGGTTAGCCAATATAATTAGAAGTATTTCAATAGGGTGCTTCATCAGAAAATAATTACGAACTTGCAAGATTAAAAGAAGAAAATGATAGATTAAAAGAAAAGAGTAAATAAAATGTTTAAGGAGGAGGTGGACCATCTGAGGAGAAACTTAAAGAATTACATGAGTTTAAAGAGAAGAATAATATATTATTATAAGAGAAGGAAAGAATTGAGTTAGAAGTGAAAGAGAAAGAGTATTAAGCTGAATAAGAAAGATAAGCTAGGAAAAGATTAGAAGATTTATTAAAGGAAAAAGAGTAAATGATGGTTTAAGGTGGTAGAGGTACTGAAGATGATAAAAAGAAATATAAAAAATTAAGATAAGCAGTTGAATAATAAAAAAAAGACCATGAAGCACTTATTAATTAGTAAGAATAATAATAATAAGAACTTTTATAAATTGAAACTAAATATCAAAGTGTATAAGAGGAAGTTGATAAATTAAGAAAATTAGTAAAATATTTGAGAAAGAAATTAGAAGAGGCATAAAATGAATAAAAAGATTTAAAACAAGAAGTTGAATATGAAAAAGAAGATTTATTAGATACTATTAGAAGTTAAGAGAAAGAAATAAAATTACATTCTGGTATTATAAAAATGATGTTTAATCCATCTGAATTAGAATCACTTCAAGCAGCATGCGAATGGGATGATGATTCTTAAGTTTATAAGATTCCTCCATTCAATTTTAAAGCTAAAAAAGTTAATTTTCCAAATCTACCCTATAAATAAGGTAATTAAATTAATTTATTATAGCAATTGATTTAATTGAATAAGAGAAGGGTGAAAGAATGCTTGAAATTAACTCTCGATAATCTGATAAAAATAGTTACAATGATTCTTAATACAATTAAAGAATGGCTTCTCCTAAGCAATAAAGAAAAGGTTTTATTTTTTATTAAAATTTTAAGAATCTTAATAAAAATAAAATGGAATCAGTTAACCTCAATTGGATAGAGCATAATTAGTAGCTGAGAAGATAAAATTGAATTATTAAATGTTAGAAGAAAAAGAAGGAAAATAACGTTATTCAAATGAAGTCTCAAATTAGTAGTTTAATGAAAAAAAACCTAATTAAAAAATAATTTTGAGTCCTATTGATAATAGAGGAAATACAGTACCAAATTTTAATAGTCAATATGGTTTTAATAGCAATACAAACAGTAGCAATTTAACATAAGCCACTCCACCTACAAATAAGAAAAGTATTTTAAAGCTAAATTCTTAGATGTTAATTTATAACCATTAGAATCTAAGCCATAGCTTCCTTTACCTGATGAATAGTAAAGAAGAAAATAACATTAGAGAGTGTAATAAAATTGAAATATTATTTTTAACATATATTTACTTTCCCATCAATTTCCAAATTTATTTTTCAATTTTATCATATTTCATTAACTTCATTTCTCTAAAAAGATATTATTCTCAATTTTGTGAATTTTATTCAAATTTTTAAGTATTCGCTTAATTTTCCAATCAATTTTAAAAAAATTCTTAAAATTTGATTTATTAAGTTTTTATAAGAATGAAAAAAATAAAATTTACTTCATTAAAATAATTTAAGAAATACTAATAGAGTGTTAAATTTGTAATAAATTAAAATAACAAAATTAATCTTTTAACTAATAAAGCACTTTTTAAAATACATTGTATTATAAATAAATAATTAGAAGAATCAAATATTTTTTAAAATCATATTCAATAAAATAGATAGTCATATAGAGTAAAAACGAAGATTAACAATCATATTTATTCATACAAAGCAAGTTTTAAGATTCAAAAATGTGGAATCTTATATCCAAATGATCCAGAATAGATTTAGATTATTTTTTGATAAATTTGAATATTATCCAAATAAATAATCTTTATAAGGTAGTGAGATCTTATTGTAATATAAAAATATTTTAAGAAATATATAAATATGATTGAGAGGCATTTTAAATTTGAATATTTCTTAAAGGTTTTAAATTAAGATAAAACAATAATAGAGAAAAAAGGAGGCGATTAGTAGAATTAATAGAAAATATGATAAAAGTAAAAAAGAATATCTTACTTTATAAAACTTAAGATAAGTTATTAGTAAAGATATAAAAGATAAGTTAGATCAATAAATATTGTTTAAAGTAATAGAATAAATCTTTAATAAAGATTTTTAGATAGACTGACTCTAAATATGATTGGAAAATGATATTAGAGGATCTTTATAATATCGTGATCAAAAAGGTGTATAATTGATATTATTAATCAGAGCATATTTAATTATAATGTCTTGTATAATTTAGTTAACCTATAGAGCTAAACAATCCTTGTCATTAAGTATTTTTCTATTTAACAAGATCCAACTAGATAATTGCCTCGTAAAGTTGTATTACCCAAATTATATGCATAAAGATAAAGAGCAATTTCTTTTGATAAATGCCAATAAAATAAAAATGCTGTTACAATTTCACCTAAGCCGTGTAATTAATCTCCAAAAATAATTGCTAAATCAATAAAAACAGAATTTAATCATATGAAATTGTCTTAATGCTCTAAAAAATCAGTTGTTTTAGATAGATAATAGCGTAAAAGTACAGCACAAAGAAAATTCAACTAAATACCAATAAATTAAAATGATTTTTGTTATGCTGGATTTGAAACTACTGATACAGATTATGAAGGTTTTACTTTAGAAGCATATCTGAAAAGAAAATGAATTTAACTTTGCTTATTTTTGCTATAATTTATAAATATAGTTTATATAATGTTTTTGACTAGAAAGTTTTGATTCGAATACATACATTTAAGTATATTTGATTATCAAACAGGCAGACTTTTAGTTCAACATAAATTTAAAAAATATATAATCTTCTAAAGGGGATGGTAAGAAATTAAAAAAAAAATAGAACTTTATCTACAATAAAAATTTATGAAACAGATAATTATAGAAAGAGAGAAACTTAATTATACAAATAAATCAATAAAAAAATCTCAAAATTAGTTTTTCAATGTGCTATTGCATAAGTTTCTTAATCATCTTCTTCAGTTTAATTTTATTTTTGAATTCCATTATCAAATTCTGGCTAACTCAATCCTAATTTTTCTCTAATCTTATTTTCATCTAATTCATCTTCATCTTCTTCTTTTGATAATGTTAATGTTCTAATTACTTAATTAGATAACATTATTCTTGCTTTTTAAAGAGATAATGATCTTGAAAGACTCTAAAATTTTTTTTGTTGATTTTATTAAAATTAACTGTTTAGAGTCATAGTATTTCTCATATTCAAAACATCAGATGAAGTACTTTTAAATTATTAAAATAAATTAGCAACAGGACGTACATCTGGTAACTTTTATATTTACATAATAATACTTAAGACAACCAAATAAAAAAGGGCATATTTATTTCTAATTCTTGATCTTACTTATCAAAGAAAAAATCTTTAATTTAAAATCCATTTTCTGGATTTAAGTGAAAAGACAGAAGAGAATTCTTTATATAAATCTTATTGATTACATCTATAATAATAATGTCTTTAAGATCTCTACCCAATTTATTTAGATTTTTAGTTAATCCAATTTGTAAAGGTGTACAACTATCTCTATACATTCTACCAATAGCTCTATGATTGGGATCAATAAAATCCATTACAGGATCAGCATATTCTTATAAACTTGCAGTCCAAAAAACTATATCATAATATTCATAAAGTTGTTCTATGAATTCATAAACACCTGGTCTTATTGTTACATAAACTTTAAATAATTAACCTTAAACAATTATCTGATATAAAAATTGTATATTACATCGATTGCAAAATCATAACCATTTATTATCTAAAACTAACTATGCACTAAAGTCTCATCTAGATCGAGAACTATAAGTTTTCGTTATCCCTAACCAAATAATTTTTGAAAAGTACTAAAAACGAAGATTTAGGACTATCAATTCCAAGCTAATATATCTAATGATTTGTTTAGTCTTGTTTTGATTTTAAGAAGCTCAAACAAGAACAAATTCTAGAAAAAATAGACTTACTCTTTGTCGTCTATTCTTTTTAATATATAATGCTTTATTACATATAAATTAATGAATTGCGATCAAATGTTATTTTAAATATATTCATTTTATATCATCAAGATCTGCTAAAACATATCGTTTAGGTTTGAAACTAAAATTTTCATTATTTATTTTTTTATCAATCTAATTACTAAAAGAAACTTTTTTATATCTATTGTTTTCTACAATAAGGGGATTTAAAGATAATTTAGATGAATTTGAAGGCATTTCATTTAAAATTTTTGTTCGTTTGGTGGTCAATAATGAGATTTCATTTGTATCTGAAAGTCTTAAATCATTATTCTTTTCTTTAATAGTAACTTTTTATTTTAATATTCCTTTTGTAGGAGACTTTTACAGACTTAAACTTTATATTTTTTTATTTTAATCTTTTTTGTCAAAGTTTCTGCAAGTTTTAATTAAGAAAGTTGTTTCCTCTTATTTTATGATAGAATGATAATTAGATGTGAATTAGAATATGCTATCATTAGCTTTATTCAAATTTTATTTGAGTTATAATAACGATTCTTAAGGTATTTAAGTTTGAGGCATATTTATATGTGAATTAACATTTAAAGTACATTAAACTAATGGTTTTAATAATATTCTTGATTTTGACTTTAAAGGGTTCGAGATATATTGGCGACTCTGCTACTATCCAACTTACATCTTTTAAAAATTTATTTATTAATTTAAGGATGTTATGTGATTTTAATTAAAATTTATATATAAATAAATGAATAAGAAATATAAAAATAATTCAATTGGTTATTAAATTCCCAATATGCCCCCATAACAGAATATTTATATTTATTTAGAGTTCTTATTCTAATTATTAAATTTCATTTATCATTTATTATTCATTAAGCTAGAATTGTTTCTTTACTTTTAATTTATATTTTATATCACAATTAAATAAATCATACTTCTTCTTTTAGTTAAAATATTCAAATGATATTTAATTTCTTTTTTTTAAAAATTTAATTATCCTGAATATCAAATCTTTGAATTTAAATTTATTTTCAATCGTTTTCTAGAAAGTAAATGAGTTTGACTCATCTTTTGACAAAGTCTTCTTAATTTCATTCATTGTAATCATCAATTCTCTAATTATTTTATATCTGTCATTATTCACTCCTAACAATCTTATTGAATAATTAGCCTTCTCATTTTATCATACTTTTAATCTCAGATATAATTATATCAAAATGTGATATTAATTTACCTTTTTTTATAGCTTTGATTAATAAATTTCTTTTATGCAACTAATTTTTTCATAAGATTTATTCAAATCTTAAATGAATTTCTAACTTTTAAGCTTTTATATTTTTGGTTTTAATTTTTTAACCTAATTTTTTAAGCCAAAATATTATCAATAATAATAAAATTTACTAACATTTTTGCTATTCCATCTTGAACTTCAAAAAATTATACTTAAACTTATTTTTATAATGATCTAAAACAATTAAAAATTTATATCATTTCTTTATTTGTTATTATTTTATTAATATATAATATCACTATAGAGGAATGAACATTTGATTATGTTAGATATTATACCTATTAATGTTCTAAATTACAATGAACTGATTATTTTGTTTATTTTATTTTTAATTATTTTTAGATATTAATTAGGTATCATAATTTCATTATATTGATCAATTTTTTAATGGATTATAAAACTAATGTTTTAAATACATTTATTTACTGTTTTATGCAGTTTAAATTTGTTATTGATTTCATAGATCATATATTATAGATTGTAATGGCTAGAATTAATAAAAATAATACTGATTTTAATTGAAATATTTATAATTCTTTAATTATTAAAATGCTTTAATTGATCCTAAATAATTAGGTTTCTTTAAAATGTAGTATGTTGCTTCTTCAGTTTTAAATAGATTTAATCTTAAATATTTTAAACTTAAATTAATAATTAATCTATTTAATTTTGATTTTCTTTGAGTTGTTCTCAATTTATTAAGATTGAATACTTTTAATGAATCTTATTTTGTTAAGATTTCATACAAAGTAAATTTATAAAATTCTATCATATTCTATTATTATCATATTAGGAGCCGATTAAATTTTAATTCAGATTTCCTTATTTGACAGTTTATAAATATTTGATGTGTAAATGGCTAATACAATAATTTTAATGTTTTTGATTATTTGAATTAATTAAGCCAATAAATGAAGAAATCACAAAATAAACTTTTTTATTATTAATTTATTATAACGAATTCTGATTTCTCATTTCTTTTTTCAAATGTAACATTACAATCCCTTTTGCTAACTAAAAATTCTGTGCAATTTAATTTCTTATTTTATAATGATGTAGCCATGTTGAAATCTAAATAAACCCTCTTATATATCTTAGAGGCTCTTATTTTTAACAAAAACTTGAAAGTATTGATTTTGCATAATATTTATTATAATTTAAAATTAAAGTTGTTAATAAATAAAATTATTGATAAAAAACAACAAAATGTCAGAAGAAGATGAAGTGATATGTGAATAATGTTAAAATGTTCCAACATAGTTTGTTATTCTAGATTGTGAACATAAATTTTGTTTATATTGCATTTCTCATGCAATTCATAAAGATGATAGTGGAGTACCTTGTCTAAAATGCAATGTTCCAACAGTTTTAGATCATGAATCATTACAAGCAGTGTAATAAACAAAAGAATCATATTCACAAACTTAAAAATCATAACCTAATTATATTGTTAGACCTTTTACAACAGAGAAACGATAACATTTTTAACCACTTCAAGAAGATGTTACTATAAAAGGACATCCTTGTTTAGAAAAATTAAATTTAGCAGTTGAAAGAAGTCTAGATAAAATAAGAAACATTCAGTTTGATAAATAGTAAGTAAAGGATAAATGTTAATCATAAAAAAATGATATAGATACAGAGTTTAAATCTTTACACATGTATTTAGATTCAAAATAAGAAGAATTTTACAATTAATTATGTAATATTGAAACTACTTATTTGAATGAATTAACTAAAGAGGAAGAAGCTTAAGTAAAGATTTTTATTAATTTAAGTAATTAGACATTGAAGAAATGAGTATTATAAAGAATGAAATTAAATCAATTTTGAAAAATTACGATAATTAAGATATCTATACATTCAAATAATTAGTAGCTACAGTAGATGGTATAGTTTAAGATAAGTAGTTATCAATCAAATAACTTGTAAATATAATTATAATTAAAGAATTTGTTCAAATAAATGTAAGACGAGCTATAACAGCTTTCTAAAAAATAGGCTTAATTTTATTAAGATTTCAGAAGGTTTTTCAATATTTTATAACCTTTATAAATATCATTGGTCTAAAATTATGCCAGCCCTATTAAAATAGAATATGGAGCTTCTATTACAAGGTATTATATTTATAAATGAATTAAGTGATATCTAAGATAAGATAAGAGAATTAAAGAATCGAAATTCTAGATCAATGAATTCATCATAACTGAATAATTCTCGTTCTTAGAATTCTCCACCTAAAAATACATTTCTAAATGAAGAAATAAATATATCAAGAAGACTCAGTCGAGATTAAACTAATGTTGTTGGATAAAGGAAATTAGGGACTTCTCCTATGGATGCAAAAACTGTACTATAAAGTTCAATGAAGCATAATAATAAATCAAATTCAAAATTCAACAAAATATTAAATAGTCCTCTTACACTTGCAGGATTTTCATATTTGAGTTGATTTAGTATTTTATAGCTATAATTTATCAAAACCTATAATATCAGTAAATTATAAACTGGACTTATTTTAATTATTTTGCTATATATATTAATTATGACATTTATATTAAAAAATTAAAATAACTTTTTTTATACATTTAACATTAATTTAATGCATAAATTTCATTATTATTAAGCTACCAACAATGTTATTAAGTGGAATCTATTGAGATTTAAAACTAAAACTGTAAGTTCAAACGAATTTTACCAGTATTTCTAAATTAAATTATTATTAATATATGTTTGAGGAATTCATTTCATAACTTGGAACAATCAAAAATGCTGAAATTCCTTTTTATTTTAGGAATCAATTTAAAATAAAAGAAAATTTCATAAATCCAAACAGCAAATATTTCGATGGTATTGTATAAAAGTAAGTAATAAATATATAAAAAAATAATAGATTGGTTTAGGAGGAAAAGTAAGATATAAAGAGAAAATGGGATAAATAATGTAAAATGATGTTTATTTGGGTGTTAAGTAAGTATTTTCAATTAAGAAATGTAAAAACTATTAATCCAAATAAAGAAGAATGGATTGAGCTTGCAAGTATCTTAAAAACTGATGAGACTATTTTGAAATAAAGATGGATCACATTAATAAATCCTGTATAAAAGAGTTTAAATTGGGATCCTAAAGAGGATGAGATAATTTGTTCATTGATGAAGTAAATTGTATAAAATAATATAGTGAATAAGATGAGAAACATATATGGACATTTATTGCCTTAGAGTTATATAATTAAAATGGTGGTTCATTTATAAGGACTCCTAAATAAATTAGAGAAAGATGGATGAATTATTTAAACCCAAAATTGAATAAGTAACTATCAATATTTATAGTTCAGAGCTAATTGGACTTAATAGGAAGATATTTAATTGTTAACTAATATATTAAAGAATGGTAAAAGATGGTCTCAATTATCTAGTGTTTTATAAGGAAGAACTGAAAATTAAGTGAAGAATAGGTATATCAACTTTATATAAAATAAGATTTAAAAGCTTAATGTAAAAGATATTCAAAGATGATTTAGATGATCATTTAGATGAACTCTAAGCTATACAATAATATTTAAACAAATCAGCACTTAATTCTAATAATATATCATCAAATCCTGTCATTTAAAAAAATCAATCTTTCTAAGATATTAAATATAAAACTAGAAAAACACACAATTACTCTAAACTTTGTCAAAAAACAACTAAGTAAAAAATATAAACTAAAACTCATTTTAAAATTCTAAAAAATTAGTAAGAATCAATTCATTAACAATTCATTAATTAAAATAATTCAATTAATCAAAAAGAAAATAATTAAAAAATTGATGAATTAAATCATTTAGATCATCCATAATCAATCTTATAATAATAATAACCTTAAATTTCTGATAACAACAATATTTAAACACCAAGTACTTTAAATCCATTTCTATAACCATTAATATAATAATAATAAAACTTTGAACTTTAATAATAAAAATAGAATTATTTGATTTTTTAAAATTATAGAAATTAGATGGAAGAATACTAATAATATTCATATTAAATTATGATGGAATAATATATCAAACAATTATAATCAAATTATAATGCCATATCGCCAATCTCTATGATTAATTAGACTCCAATGACCTATACACCTACTTAACAATTTTAATTTTATTACAATACATTCACATCACCTTAATGGAATTGTACTCCTAATTTTGATTTAAATTCACCTATAATTTAGAATCTTTACTGGCAAACACAACAATAAAATTATGATTATTCTCAAAATGAATAAATCAGACAAATGCAATTTGTATTTATTCAAATTATTTTAGAATCATAAATTAGAATTTTTAAATTCGAATAATCTTGTAGATGATTGGAAAAAAAAAAGAGATAATTTAAAATAAAATTAGTAATTTTCAGTTATGGATTCATTAGATTAATGAAAAATGATTTATTCTTATATCTTGAATAGAACAAAATTATTTTATTTATCTTATATTTCTATACAAAAATATAAATTAAGAAATTTTACTTTTTATTAAAACATCCTTTATTACTAGAATCTTAAATTGATAAATTTTAAGATCTTTTTTAAAAGAATTTCTATTTAAAATTTCAATTATCCACTTAAATAAAATATTTAAATATAAAAAAGATCAAAATATCATGATTTATAGAATCTATCTGATAAAAATCCAAAGTCAGATTCTTAAATTGAATGATACATACTCAATTATGCTCTTTTTGTAATATTTTGGCTAATTTTAGGTTAATTTTATGTGTTTGAATTGGAATGTTTGTGTAAATTATCTTAAAAAAATGTACTTACAAATAATTTTTATGCCATTTATTAACGATATTATTATTTTTCTTCAGGAGTTGAATTATAGTTTAGTTAAGTAATTTATTTATTTGGCGACTTCAATAATTAAGTTTATTTTGCAATTTGATCTGGAGATTAATACAATTTTCTTCTTAAATCATTTAATAATATTTCTTAGTTATTTATAATCTAATTTTTAGGTAATTTTTATTCAGCATATTTTATTAATTATTTCTTAAAACCTTAATTAGGTTTAGAACAATTTCTCTTCTATTTAACAAAATTAAAAGCTTAATCATAATTCCAATTGTTTTTATAAATCAAATAAGCTATTACACAAGAAACTGAACGAGAAATTCCAGCCATACAATGAACCAAAACAGAACCATATAAAAGTGACTCTTATATATATTTATTAGTAATTTCTATCAAATCAAGTATATTCACATTGTCATTATCTTTTATTTCAAAAACCTTCCTAATATATTCTTAATTACTTTGTGTCTCATTCTTTGATGTACTGGATAAGACAAATTTGTATTATTTGCTATTGTAAGCACAGTTTTGATGTTTTCTTGATTTAATTTAACGATATTTTAAGCAGCCTTTATATTCCCTAACCATAAAGCTCCTGTTGTCTTTGTTTAAGGAATTATTTTATCCATTTCGTTATATAAGGACTTCATTAAATATAGTTAAAATCTTTAATTTTTATTTCAGATATCAAGAAATTTATTATTTTATTGTTCTTGTTTTTCATACTAATAAATTAGCATTTTTAACTACCGTCTAAACATATTTCTAATTATTTTCTGGATAATAAATTAAAATAAAGAAATATTATTCTCATATTTATTTATTAGAAATCGTTAACGTTCATTTTTCATTATGTTTCAAAAATGATATTTAAAAACTGAAAAGAAGGAAAAAAATTAAAATAGATAAATTATATTTGCATAATTTCAAAGAAATTATATAAACAAAGTCTTTTTACAAAATAGCATATCACTCATATCCTTAATTTTACTAAGCTAAAAATTTTTATATAAATTTCATTGAATTTATTAAGAATTTTTATATTAATCTATCTGATATTGTTTTTGCTTTTGATTTTTTTATGATCATTTCAATAAATTGGCTTGTCTTAATTATAATTCTCAATTGTTATTAATTTTCTAAAATATCTAAATTTCTATATGAAAAATAATGAAATAATTAGCTTTGAAAATGTTGCATAAAAAACAAGTCCAGAAAATGAAACTTTTGTTGAACTTGAATTTCAATAAACTCAATATGAAACATAATTAGATTAGATTTTAGAAGAGTAAAGGTTTAGTGAAAAGTTGAAATAATGTGAATAAAAAAGAATAGAGAAATTATAGAGGTATTTGATTAATAATGTATAAAAAATAATTTCAGAATACCTTAAGAATTTGAGTATAGACTTCCTACAATAAGAGAAATAATTGACATTTCAAACTCATAATTGCATCAAACACATAATATTCCAGAATAAGATGAATAATGCAAATCTTAAGTTTAGAAGAATAATCAAAAATTGAAAAAACTAAAATAAAGAACCAAAGATTGGAGTAAATTTGAATAATAACTTATCTATTATTCTAGCTTAAACATTTCTTAATATTATACTGATAAATCTATTGATTGTCGATGGAAACTATTGTTTACTTATTATATAATAATTATTGGAACTAATATCACTTTAAATTTGATCGAATTAATTAGATACTAATAAAGTTTTTGTAAATTAGAAGGTTTAGATCATACTCTCATTTATATTAATTAGATAGCTTACATAGCATGCAAAGTCGGAATTTTAAATATCATTTATTAAGAATTCACTAATACTTTGCCAATAAAAGTCAAAGTTCCCTTATTAAATTCAGTTGTATTTAGTTGTATATTTCCAATTTTGTCAATGCCACTTTATATCTTTGATTTTGTAGAATGTGAATATAGAATCAAAATCTTTACACTTGATTAAAGTCTCAAACTTTTGAATCTTATAGATTGGCTTATTCTATCAATATTAATCTTAATAATAATTATTTAATCTTGTTTTCAGATTTAGATTTCAAGTTAAGCCATTTAAAAAGCCATGTAAAAATACAATTTTCTATTTAGGAAATACATAAAGATAGCCTATTACATTTTATTGATTATTGTTCACTGCATTTCAATAATTATGGTTATTGGATAATCCTTTGATAATTTTATGCCTGCTATGATAATGGAGAATTACTACTTTATATTTTCAGTACTTTTAATGTGTTACTTGTCAGTATAAAAATATTTATTTCATTAAATTCCATTCTAACAGAATTGTTAAAATTTAGATAATGAAAGATCCTTTCAATCTTTATAATCATGATAATTATAATTAGTTACTATTTTAACTTTACAATATTTTACATTATAGGTTTTTTTTATTTCTATATTATTATAATCTTGGGATAGAAATAAGAACTGCTTAATATAGTTGAATAATAAATGTAATATTTTATTTAATTATCTTTTTAAAATAAACATAATTATATTTCTCATAATTAATTATGTAATATCTAATGACGTTTTTTATAGATTAAACTACATGACTTTAGGTTAATTTTATTTTATGATAGGATAATATCATTATTTTTAATAAATACTATTTAAAAAAAATAAATAAATTTATTCATTTAAGAAATATGTAATTCTACTAAAAAAAATTATTAGAAAAAAAAAAAAATTAGTAAAAAATTTTTTAATAAATACTTGATAAATTAGGAAAATTAGCATAATTATCACAAAAATTCATTTAATGTATTCTTCAACTTTCTTTAAAATTCTATCTTAAGCGTGTTTACTATTATTATGTATAGGATGATATCTCATATTTTATCCACAGCATCCAGCTGAAAATAAAACTTCTATTTTGATTGATTTCTCTAATACAATAATTTCTTAAATTTCCCAATCTTTACTAAGACCTTTTAAAGTAACTAATACAAAGTCTTAATCTTTTCCAAATTTATAGCCATTATGAAGTAAATAGTAATCTGAATTTGTATTTTTTGTTGTTAAAATTACTCCATAATGAATTGGTTCGTCATTATTTCCTTTTTACTGTCTTTTAACTAGCATAGTTTTATCTACTTATAGGTTCAAAATATCTTTTAATTATTTATTTTACATTTATATTTTATTATTAATATATATTTTAATTAAACTTAAAATAGTAGAATGATATATATTATTTTATTTTAATATAAATTAAATTCAATAATTCTCATTATAGACTCCTAATTTATATTTATTTTGATTAATTATCCCATGTTATAAGCCAAAGTCCATCATCTGACATTGATCCATAAATTTCATTAGTTTCAAAATTAATTGTTTAGTCAGTTACAAACTTATTTTTCCCTTTCCATCTTATAATATTTAATGTATGACAATTTTTATTTAATAATAAACCTTGTTTCTTTGAAAATTATTGAGGAAAAAGCCAAAGACAATTTTATCCTTTAAATTAAACAGAAATTTCCTTCGATTTATAAAAACCTTTTTTGGAGTCCTTTTCTTAATATATATGCATAAAATTCTTTTTGCAAGGTTAAAATGTAAATATATTATCTGTAATGAAACATAATCTTCTTCCCCATTCTACTTTTATCACCTATATTATGATCCATTTTTTATCATCTCCTTTTGGTTCACTTACTAAAATTTAATCATCATAAGCTCCTGATATTAATTTATTTTCAGATTCATTTAAACTTATACTACAAACATATTAATTATGACCAATTAAAGTTTAATGTAATTCCCAATTCTAAGATTTCTTCCAAAATTTTATAGTATGATCATTACTACATGAAATAATCATATTGTCAATTTTACTATATATTATTTATCCAAGATAATCTTTATGACCATTCAATATTTATTCACATTCCCATTCTTTTTCATTTTCTTCTTCTGTATTTGACCAAATTAACATTGAACCATCCTCACATCCAGATACAAATCTATTCTGATTTTTTAAAAATATACAATATACAATTAAACTTGGATGTCCATCCAATATTCTTGAAAGGATCAAGTTTCCTTAAATAAATTAAAATAATTTTATTTATTTCTAACAACTTGCTATCAATAATGTAGAATCTGAATTAAATGAAAACGATCGACAAGCTTCCTTTTAATCTATTGGATTAGAATTTAATTTAAAATGTAACTTTTTCTCATTATTTGTTTAATCTTAATTATATTTATGTTTCAAGGTTTCACCTACTTATTATATTAATTCAGATTACTTTTAAATATTAATGTTCATCTTTTCATTTGTACTTTATTAAGTATTATTTAATTCTATAGTTTTTTATTTATTAATTTTAATTTCTAAATTTTAATTATTAATTTATGGATTCTATTCTTATTACTATTGAATATGATTACTAATATCTTTAATCTATATAGTTTAATTCTGATATTTTTTATAAGATTTTGCTTTTTTTTAAGTATTTTTGGTTAATTATTTTTTTTAAGTTTATATTTATCCAAAGTATTCTTAATTTATTAATTATTTTATTTATTTTTTACCTGAAGATTAAGATAATTTCATTTTAGTAAATGCTTCATTAATTTTGTGATTAATTTCCTAATTAATACTTATAAAGTCTTAATAAATTTTAGATTTTTCAATATCATGATAATCAGGCTAACTTATTTGTCCTGCTAGTTCTGTAACATCATCATTTTTTAATGCTAACCAATCAATATTCAGATTGTTTAAGTAATTTTGTGCTTTTTATTTAATATCTTAATTATTTTAACACAATGAACTTGTAATATCTTTGATTACATCATTATAATTAGTTTTTATAGTATTAAAAGATTAATTTATTTAATCTATTGATTCTGAGTATTTATGTAAATTTAAAATTTTTAAGGTTTCTTATTTTTACCATAATTTTTAAGCTACTTTAATAGCAGTATATTGTGTTGGATAATTTTGTATACAATATACACATGCTAATCTATTGGGAATTTTAGGTTTTTAATGTAAATCTACCATAACAATTTCATTTTCATGTTATTAACAAATTAAATTATTTTATTGTATTTAAGATTTATCAATTTAAGATTAAAATTAAACACTTGAATTTTATGGAGGATCAAATTTATCTTCTTTAATTAAAGTAAACAATTCTATACATTTATTAAAATGTTCATTTTCTTTCAATAACAATAATTATTCTGAAATAAATTAGATGCATCTTTCTTTTTATTTTTATGATTCCTCAGTTAATTATTAAGCATTTTATAATTATTTATTAAGATCAAGATTAAGAATTGAAAGTGATGATTTAGTTTATTGTTCTTAATCAGATATACTTTGAATCCAATCATTAATAGCTGTAATTTATTTGTTTATTGATTGTTTAATAAAAATTTTGAGTTTTTCAAGTTCTTACATTAATTAATACAGTTTTTGAACATTTAGTTTAATATCTGAATCAAATTGTTAATATTCCTCTTTAATATTTTTAGAGATATCTAAAACATCTCCAACTAATACAACCTTTTTATTATAATTTGATGGCCAACATTTAAGACATAATACTTGATTCATTTTGTTTTGATCATTAAATGCTACAGCCACAATAGGTTCCTAATGTTCTTAACAGGATTAAACAAGTAGTGGATTTGACATTATAAAAATAAAGTAAATTCTATTTTTTTGAATGCTTTTTGAATTAAGTAAAATATGAACTGAAATAATTTGATAAGCATTAAAATACTTATCAATTATAATTTGATGATTTGTAAATACTTCTTATATATGCTATATAAATATTCATATATATATTTAATATATATTTATATTATATAATAATAAATATGGCTTCCTAAGCTATTGCAAAAGATTTGTATACATATACAAATGATGAAAGGTTCAGTATCAATTAAAATATCGTTTAGCTTATAATTGATGATCTATTCCATTAAAGGTAATCAAGTATGCAAAGATCAAAGAAAAAGTTTTAATCTTTGCAGATCAACACCATTAGGAAAGCATGTTGAACCTGAATTTTGCAAAGATAGTGCTATATCATTCATTGATTGCTTCTTAGGAGTGTAATCAATCATAACTAATTTATTAGTCAAAGGAATAAGAAGTGTCATTAGCAATTTTAGAAAGTATTTGACATTGCCAAAACTGGATAATATGCTTAAGAAAGTTTGGAAGATTATTTGAAATGTTGAATACAATTATACAATAGTATCCAAAAATATTATTTTTATATATATATCATTTGAAACTCATCTGAGTTAACCATTTCTCAAAAGCTCCTTATCCTTCTTTCTCTATTGTTCCTCTTCCTTAATTTGTAATCACTAAGCCATTATTTGGGTTCAAAATAAGTAAACAAGGAATACCTATAATTATATATATATATTTATTTATACTTACCTTATATATGCTTTTTATATTCATTGTAAACTTAATATTTTACAAACTCTTTAAAATCATAAAATAACCATGGCATATCACTCACTATTTCCTTATACTTTTCTTCATTCTCATCCATACCAATATAAATTATTTCGAATTATTAAATCTCTTCATTTATTTTTGTGTAAAATTCAACTAACCAATATTTTTATTGTTTACTCAATGATGGTGTAAATCTTTAACATGGTTAACTCCATTAAGCTCCTATATACACACCAATTAATCTAGCATTTTTTAGATTAGGTCCATCTGTTGGTCCTTCAACAGATTAAAAGGAAGTACCAAATTTATCCATTATTTTCTAGATAATTTATATATAATTTTTAAAACTGCTATCTTCAAAATTTATTATAAAATATTTATTAATTAACTAATCAATACATACTTTACATATTAATGATATTTCTAGAAGATTTCTTAAAAATTAAATTTATAGAAATTACACTATTAATTATTCTCATTCTAAATAATTATCTAATTAAATATAATATTTGATTTAAATATATTCTAATAATAGATAGATAGAAAAGAAGTTGTAATAGATTTTCATTAATTATTTTAATTATTATTTAATTATTTTAGCTCAAATAAAGTGTATATACAATTCAAATTTTTCATTCAGTCTTTACCATTTGCTTTAATAAGAGTTCATAAACTATAGGCTCAAAGCATTATCTCCACCAAATCAAAATATTTTTTGAATTTATATTTTCAGGATTATTTAACTTTTAATAATATAGTTCTGAAAAGTAATCTTCCTCAATTTACTTCATTTCTTCTCTAATGCTTATTGAAACTTATTTATAATCTGGTATAAAGAGGTCTATTCCTGGTTCTATTGTTTTAATTTCCTATTTTGTTTGTTCTAATATCTGATTTCTTAATTATTCAATCTATATTTCTGAAATAGTTATATCATTTTAAGCAGATGGTTCAGTTTCAATTTATTTTTCATTCTAAATACATACTTTCTTAATTTAAAGATTTTCAGTATAATTTAAAAATTGCTATAATTTGTTTTTGAATTATTTCATTTCTCCAGATTATAATTTTTCTGGAATTTAAGAAATTTTTTAAAATAGTTAAGAGAGCTTATGGAAATGCTATTTCTGAATTGTAACTATAGAACCTGATTTTGAATTACATAATTCTATTTATTTAAGCAATTATTTAGGCTCGCTTTCATTTCTTTTTACTTTTTTTTTTTAAATATTTTAAATTGTCTCAGCTGAATTTGAACCATGTTCATCTGAATCTAAATTTATTTCTTCTGTCTTCTTGTAGAATTAAAAAAAATCAAAGTTGTTTTTAATTCTACTTAAAAATTCTTACATAATAGAATTATCATATATGTCTTTAAGTTTAAATGTTTTCTCATATACTTCCTATTTAATTTATTCTAGTAATTCTTGCTCTTTTAGTGTATGTAAACTCTTCCATAAATCTTAATTTGGATAACTCTAAAGTGTTGCACATCTTTGATTAACACTAGGTTTTATAGAAACACATAAAATTAAAGGATGAAATCCAATCTCTCTTACATTTAATGCTTGACGAATCCATCCCATAATTTTTTTTATTAAAAGCTTCTTTTATTTTTGTATGGGCTTCTAACTTGTTTTCTAGTTTAAATGCATTTATGATTTAATATAATTTAATAAAATTAATTCTATAATATTTTTCTATTTTAAATTCATACTGGTGTTGAATACAATTATTTATCTATTAATTTTGTATTTCTATTAAAACAGATTTATGATTATATGTTTTAGGACCTGCCGTTTGATTATTTTTTTTGAAATCTCATTTTTAACCATACCCAAAAGATATCTTATTGATTCTGGAGTGTTCAATGAATTTATTATCAATTTCATATGAATTACAACCTGATACAGAGAATCTTTAAAACTGGTTATAGGTTTTAATTTAATCCATATTGTAGCTGCTGGCTAAAATGTACTTAATAAAATTATTTACTTAATTTATCAATACCTAAAGAATTTGATATTTCATAAGAAGCTCAACCAGGCAAAGCTATATTATTAGAATTTTTCCATCTATCATCTTAAGGTAAATTTGTTCTATTTAATTTATTATATAAATTAGAGTTTCCTAAAAAATAAACATTTAAAAGAAGGGTTCAATTCTACATTTTTTGAAACATATCCATGTGCAATTTATTTAGATTGATAACCAAAACTAATTTTACTTCCACTTCTAATAGAATTAGATATATAATTTTTTTCAGTTGAGTTAAGTGTGCTTCTTTTGCAAACCTATCAAAGATTTTAATATCATAACCTTGAAGCTTAACTAAAAGATACTTCTGATATACTGTGTCTTAAAGAAGCAGTAGATTAATATTCACATGTTCCTTTTTCTATTGAATATAGTTTATATTTAACAGATTAAGAGTTTGATAACATTTTTGTATTATTTGTTATTGGATTTGCAATATGTCTAAATTTAAAAGTTAAAGCATAATCATCATTAGATGTTATCATTCCTTTTATTAACTATCTATTTTATAGAAGTAACTTATATTATTAAAAGTTATTTAATTCTCTAGGATTAGGATTAAATTGTGCAAATTTGTTATTAACTCTTATTATAATAAGATTCTTTGAATCCATCAAAAGTAGATGAATATGAATTGGATATTATTCTTTATTTTAAATGTCATTTACCTGCTATTGTTTCGAGATTAAAAACAGATGCTTAGTTTTATGAGATCTTAATATGAAATAGTTTTTCTTTGTTGTTTACAATGAATAATTGAACTTCAGACAATGAAACACTCATTAAATTTATTTTATGCAAAATAAAATTATGTTTACTATTTTTTTTATAAAAAATTAAAAAATAACAAAACTTTTAGTTTTTTCTAAATCTATAGATTTGTGATTTCAATTTAATATAGAAGACATAGATAATTCTATTTAAAAGTGGAATTGAATTTTAAAATTCAAATAAATTTAATGTTAAATTCAATTAAAAGTGAATATAACTAAACTTCTTCATAATAAGATGATGAACTTTGTTAAAATTTAGATGATTTAAAATAAAATTCAGAATGGATTTTAGGTATTTTTGAAGCAGGACGTGGACCTTTAATTGGGCCTATCATAATTACAGGATGTTTTTGGCCTATTCAAAATCATAATTATATTGTCAAACAATGTTCTTTATCACTTAATAAACAGTTTTACTAAAATTAAACTGAAAGTTCAGAAATAATTTTTAAACTTAAAGGGAAAGCATTACAATTTGAAACAATAGAAATTAGCGCCTAAAAATTATCAACTAAAATTTTAGCATATACACCATCTGATGTAAATGAAATTAGTATAAAATACACATTAAAACTAATAAAATAAATAATTTCTAGTGGATACAAAATTCGTGGTAGTAATTCCATTTTAAATAGATAGAGTGTTATATTAATCCAATAGGTTTTAAAGATAATTTAAATGATCTTTATAAAAAGGAGCTTAATTTATAAAATGATGAACTTAAATTTATTGTAGGAATGCATCAAACTATAATAGCAGCATAAATAGTAGCTTTGTAAGAGAGAAATATTAAATTATAATAAATTTAATAAGAAATTTATCCTTATGGATAGATGGGATCTGGCTATTCTTCTGATAAATTGACGAGAGAGTTTCTCTCTAAAGTAAGCATTCCTGTTTTTATATATCCAAAAGAAATTAGATTTGCATGGTAAACTACAAATGCTACTTTTAAAGAAAAAGCAATTACTATAGAATATTTATCAGAATAAAATAGAATGAAATAAACTAAAGAATAATTTATAGAAAATCCTTCAATTCTTGAATATGGAGAATTACAATTTGAAAATTATAATTTATGACTTATTATATGAATAGTAATAATCATTATATCTAGTATTATTATTTAATAATGAAAATTAAGAAGTCAATTCTAAAGATTATATGATTTAATATTTACATATATGATTTTAGAAAGTGACAAATATTCGAATATGAATTTAATATATATGTAATATTAATTATTAAAGTATTATAAATATTTAGATGTAATAATTTGAAGAAGAAGAAGATTATTGTTCTAGAGGAAGAAGAAGAGTAAAATTAAATTAAGAGCAAGATACTATTATTCCTTTGATACCTGGAATATTGGATATGATTTTCTAATTTTTAACACCTTAATAGCATCTATAAATGAGATTGGTTTCTCATCAATGTAATGCTGTAGTTTAATAATTTATGAAAAAGTTTCTAGTTACATAGATATCAAAGGGAACCTTTTAATAATTCAATAATTTTATTAGTATTTAATTTTAGCAAATAATAATAGGATAATTTTCAGGATTAACAAAAATAAAATTACCTCCAATTTCTTCGGATGAACATAAATTATGCGATGAAATAAATCCACAATATTTAGTTTAGGTTATTTTCATTGATTTTTTGAATGATTCATAATCTTAATAGACATACTTAAAAGAGTTTTTTTTAAAATATACATCTATTATTTCAGTTGGAATCAATAAATTTTAAGCTCTTAATTGGTTACCACTTGAAAATATAAAACAATTAGATTTATCAACTGTTATGGAAATTAAAGATAAAAGCTTTTTGGAACTTACTCGAAGTTTAGTTTCTCTATCTATTCATGTTTAAGAGACTAACTATTTTTTTTCAACAAGTGAATTTCCACCTTTAGAACTATTAAAAATGTTAAAAATCAAATTATGGGGTCCAACTTTTAAAGAAGAACATTTTCCAAATTTCTTAAATTTTTTGGACTCTATAAAAAATCTAGAAATACTTGAATTATCATTTAATTCTTATGAGTCAAATGTCATAAAGTAAGATGTATTAAATGCATTTATAAGTAAATTACCAAGTATATAATATTTTAAATTTAGAATTACGTATTTTATATGCATTTTCTTGTTATGAATAAATCCAGAACGCTCAATTTCTACATAGATTTGATTATTTAGTCATAGAAAATAATAGATATATTAAATTAAAACCTTTAGATATACCAACTTTGGAAACACTTTTAGCATTTACAAGTGTATTGGACATAACAAATTGTATTTTAGAAGAAGATAATTAAAAACTAATTTAGCAATTTTTGGAGAATTAAAGAGAAAACCCATCATAAAACAATGAGTCTATTTTAAAAGTAATAATAAAATTAATTTTAAAGGTTTCATTTGAATAAAACTATATATAAACAAATTATCAAAGGTTTCCAAAAGTATAAAAAAATAATATATTTACTACTTTTTGGGATTCTGCCTATTATTCAATTTGATTATTGTGCATATATGATTATTCTTTTAATTTCATATAGATATAATTATAAATGAAATTTCTTCAATCGGTTTATTGTAATAATTTGATATTATTAAAATTACATTAATGGGATAGATCTGCATAAGTTGTGAGAAAAAAGATGCTGATAAAAATGAAATAAAGATTGAATAAACTGCCTAACATCAAGAAATAAAATTTATTGAAGATTTTGAATTCATAAGTGGTTTAGATAAGGGAGAGTCTTCAAAAAAAATGAGTATGCTTTCATTTCAGCATAAAAATAACAGCAGTAGTTGCCGTCATGTTGATTCATAATATTAAGGATCACTTTTTAGTGTTGTAACTCCAGATTTCACATTTTCTTCTAATTTAGTTGAATGAATTGTCCTTTTGGTCTAATTTTTGAATTGACCTCTATGGAATGATTCTCACTTATATATTTGTATTAATTATATGATATGTTTTGAGTAATAATTGTAATAATTTACAATGGAAATAATAAATGTTAATAATATAAATATTATAAATATAGTAACAATTAGATTATTTTTTGTTTTTTTGTATATATATATATATTTGTAATAATGATGTATAATTGATTTTATTTAAGCGAAATGTTTTCATATTAAAATAGCTCCTTACTTTTTGTCTTTAACCCAAATAAACATGACATCTGCAATTATAACAGTATGAATAACATCTGCAAGTATCAAATAAACAAACTTTTCTCCAGCCATATAATTCATAACCCAAAAGGCTAATCTAAGAAGTCTAGAAAATCCCATTGCAACAAGATATTTAGATATGTCAGCTTCAATTGATCCGATTTTTTTGCTATTTGTGCTCTAAACAAATATACCTCACATAAATTTGAGGCAATAAGCCACAAGCTTCAATAAACATGCTCATAGATACAAACATTTGTACTGTAAAATAATTTTCATTCTTAGTTCCAGGGTGGAAAAAGAATGATAATATTAAACAAATTGGTATAATTGTTTGATATGAAAAGTATGGATTTGATATTTAATGAAAACGTGTATGTCTATGATTAAAATATCTATAAAAATATACCTATATTTATGGAAAAGATAAAATATGAAACAACTCAAAACTATAGAAATAACCAACTCAATCCAAATTAAAAAGAAGTTAATTAATCTAGTATCACTTATATATAGGATTCGCATCACTGCTCCAATAAAATACATCACTTAAGTTTCTAAAGCTAATCCTTGAATATTCCTTTTATCATAAATGTATTTTATCAAAAAGTAGGCCCCTGCATGTTACACCAAATATCCAAGTGTAAAAATTATCAATATATAATCCATAATAATTATTATTATTATTAATCAATTAGAATAATCAAATTAAGTTATTAGAAAAACAAATTAATCATAAATTGTCTAAACTAAATTAATTTTATTTCAATCATCTCATCAAACATGATCATTATTACAAATCTTGATGAAATTAATCAATTTTAGAATTAACAAAATATTAAAAAATAATTATAAAAAGAGAAGCATCAAAAAACTATTTAAAAAAATCATTAAAACTTATGAAAATTGTAAAGTTAAATGTTTATTTAAATATAAATATTCTATGGTTCTTGAAATCCAAGATTTCTATATTAAATTTTTTATAAACATCAAGAAATTAGTTGATAAATTACATTAATTTATTTATAATTAAATTTATGAGTTAAATATAGATAACCAAAAAAATTAGAAAAACAAGAGCAAAAAAGAAAAATTTAGTTGAATCATCCAAGATTGTATTTTTTAAAATTTTTGCATTCTTGACACCTTAAGAAAAATTGAAGTGTCGCTTTGTTTGTAGAAACTTTAATTATTATGCAATCTAATCAATTGAATCTTTAAATTTTTAAGCATAAAACACAAAAATGAAAGCTTTTAAACCATTTATAGGTACATTAATATTATAAACTAAGCTAAATGCACTAACCTTAAGTACTTAATATATCCATGTTTATATAAGCGAGTTTAAATGACTTCTTTAGTAGGAAAAAAGAAGAGACCTTAAATTAGAGAAATCACTCATTTATGGTTTAGAAGTTATGAAGATATTGCTGACTTGATGAAACTAAATACAGGATTAATAGCATTGGAATTAAAATTTAATTTTAGAGGGATTGCAGCTCCTTAAATATCTTAAGATGTATAAGAAATTTTATTAAATTCATCAATTGAAGAAATAATAATAAAGGAATAATAAATAGCTGATTTAGCAATAATTGAATTAATGAAACATAAAATTACTTGCATAAAACTAGAAGTGAAGAACGATTAAAATTAATTAATAGAAAAATTAATATCTATTGAATTAAGATTGAAAAAACTATATTTGAAAATGACATTTGTAGATAATAGAATTGAGGAGTCGCTGAATTTCTTTTTACAATAGTAATAAGAGTTAGAAGTTTTGTATTTAGATTTTAGAAAAGGAGTAGATTTATAAAATCATAAGAAATTGAAAACAATAATATTGGAAAATGTTAGTGATTTGAAATCTTCAATGAAATTTCCATCTGTTCTTGTTGAAAAGGTCATAATAAAATCATTTTATATAACTTAGAAGGATGTAAAGGTATATATATATAAATGAAAGTATTAGTTTTTATTATAGAATTTTTGTCATTATAAAATTTTAGACATTTCATCAATTTAAGGATGTTGGATAGACATTTTATTGGAGAAGAAAAAAGCTGAAACTCCAATTTAGGATTAAGAAAAACAATTAAATGTTTACTTAAGTAAAGATATATTTAGAGGACTATAATAAATATTGGGAATATCACAAATAAAATTATATTAATTAGAACCAATAGAAAACCTATTCAATTATTTTTAATGATTATATAGATAATGTGATCATTCACGTGACTTATAGAAATTATTTAATGCAAATAATCTAACTTATCCTAATGTAACAAACATACAAATGTTCCAGGTGATGATTCTACCTGCATTTGCTGAAAATCCATTGTATAGATTTAGCAATTTCTATTAATATAAAATATAAATTGTTACTTCATTTTTTATAATGTTCATAACAACAGTTAAAACACCAACATTTTAATTCATAACTCTAGTTTTAATTAAGTCTACTGGTTATCCAACAACTGCAGCTATAAAACCAGCACAAGCACTTGAAGCAAAATGACATGTTAATCCTTCATGAAATAATCCTGTTTTTATAAGAGATTCTTTAATGTGATCAAATGTAGCTAATTCAGCACAATTAATAACAGCATTTCTTATAATATTTGGAGTAACACCTCTCCAAAATCCATGCAATCTTAAATTTATTATATAATTATTACCCATCTTATTTATAAATCTTTATGTATGCATCAGTTAAATTTTTATATCTACGTTATTCTATTGGTAGATTACCATCTACTTAGAATCTTACCTTTATTACATCAAATGGACTTGCTACTGATATACCAATTCCACCTGTTGCTAAACCAGCATAAATCTTTTTAGACAAGGGAGGATCTCCTTTGAAATCCTTTCCACAAAAGAAATCACGCATCTATTTATTCAATTTTTTATTCTTACAGGTTCATATAATCCTATACGAATTGATGCAAACACCAATTATCTCTGTATTCCTGCTGTTAAACCTTTAAATAAACTAGAAACTCCTTCTTAACTGTATATTTAACGAGTTGTATGTAATAATCCATGATATTTATATTATCCTTTTGCATCTGGCTTTTGAATCTAAAGACGAACTTTCTAAATTCAAATATCAATCATTTTATATACAGCTGTATCTATTGGAATTGTTAGAGCTTCTGCTACACTTCCTGCAATACCACCTGAGATCATTTTAACCCAATCTGGCAAATCATTTATACTCTAATATTGTTTGCTCATATTATTAATAAATACGTCAATTCATTCTCATACACTTATTATTAATTCATATATATTATTTATATATCAAAAATATTATATAATTTTAAATATTAAACAATAATATTTCTATCTTTAGAATATTAAATTCTCTAGTATATATATTTTCTACTTCTACTCTTTTTTCAAACATTCCTGACTTCTATTCATAAACTCAATCAATTAAAATAAATATCCTTTTTGCAACTTTTTGATCTATTTTTGATAAAATTATATTAAAATTTTTATTTTTAAAGTAATTTATCGGAATACTATATAGCTTTGGTTCAATTAAATATTTTTAAATGATTTGAGTTAAAGCATACCTTAAATGTATAACCATCCATTAATCAAAAATAAAAAGTAATCTGAAAACTGAAAAGAATTTATGATGAATCAAGAAATTTTAGGATCAGAAAATATATTTTATGAATATTAAAATGTAGTATGATAGTTATGTAATTAAAGTTAAAACTCAAGAATCTAATTAATCATTGTAAGATTCATCAGATTGACTTGAAAAACTATAATCCAGATTTCTTGAACTAGCTAAAAGATTTAAGGCAAATTTAGGTTCTACATCATCTTCCTAACTTTCTTATTGTTAATTTTATTTATGATTAAGTGTTTAAATTTATTCAATAAGATCAAGCGCAGGAATTTTATTTAGTAATTTAAGAGATGATTTATCTTAAGCATTTTAATGATCTAAAATATATTTTGACTTTATATATATACTTTGTTAAAAATTGAATTATGATAGGATAATCGATTTCTTAGGCATAATTGTCGAGTGTCTACTTGGTATTACTTAGGGTTAAGTTTTTCTTTATTACTTATTGTCAATTAATTTAGTAGTATTTTTTAATGATTCTTAAGATAGATAACGAAACAAACGATTGTAAGTAGGATTTTTTAGATCTTAATATTGAAAGCCAGCTTGAATTAAAATTAATTTTAATGGCTCATTTATATCAGAATTAATTGATGTTATAGAATCCAACATTGAATGAGTATTATTTATTTTGAATTTTTATAGCTTTCCATTTTAATTTGAAACACATCCTCCTTGGATAATGTGTTTAATTTTATATTAAGGCCAAAAATATTCGTAGTTCATTAAAATTATAAATGGCAAAAGGTGGTATTCAATAAAAAAATAAGGTTATCTAATTTTTAATATTATTGGTGTAATAATATAAAATTTTATATATGTTCCGTTTTTTATTTATTATATTATGGATAGGATAAAGTGAGGATATTTAAAAGGCAACAAAAGAGGTTTACTTTTAAGGAAATGTAATTATGGATGATGCTTTTATAAATGATGGTTTATATTAATAGGAATTAATATTGTAAGGAGGAAGATTATTATTTGAATAAAATCCATTATTTGAGTAAATGTTAACAATGGTAGAGACAATAGGAGATGGCTCAAAGGATTAAATACTTCTTTTAATGAATGAAGTAGAAAATAAAATACCTGATAATGCTGAATTATAATCAACGATTAGAGATATAAAAGTATAAGAATTGAATCAAATACCATAAATAGAATAAATTTTAACTGATGAACCTGAATGGCTAAGATAATTTGAACTTTTTTTAGGTGCATTAACAGTTTTCATTGCATTTGTTTTCCTTTTAAATGCTGAATCAAGGAAATATAAGCATCATATGATTTTAAAAGATGTAGTTGAATTAAAAAATGAAAATTAATTAATAATCTTACAAGGATCAACATTAGTAACTGAAGAATATTTGATTGATATATTAACAGGGATAAAAGTTGTAAATGCAATTAGATTTTATAGAAAAGTGGAAGAATTAATAATTAATAATTAAGGAGATAGAATATGGATAGAAAGAGAAAGTGAAATATAATGGTATGATGATGAAGATAATGAAGTATAATAATCAGAATGGAAATCATAAATCTAAAATAATCAATGTTTTTTATTAGATTATTAATTGAATGATAAATAAATTGAATAGTTAAAAAATTGGTAAAAACTTAAACTAAATCCTTATTATTATCCTGAATATTAAATAGATTAAAATAATATATATTTAAATGGAAATACAACCTTAAGAGTTTCTTATTGGTATATTCCATCATAATTACTTACTGTGGTATGTAAATCAGATGGAATAAAATTAAATGAAATCGAGATTCATCTACAAATGCTTGAATCTAGTTAAGGATTTAGTGCAAGTTCAATTAGAAAAGTATAAAATTTACATATTAAGGATTGTTAAGAATTGGTATGTTAGAAAGTCAATTAATGGATTATATGGAATGAATGGTCATCTGATGATCAAAGTATTGATTTTGTAGAAGAGGGTCTAATTTCATTGGAAGATATTTTTAAATCTAAATTAACATTCAAATAAAGAAACATAATTAAAATTAGAGTTCTAGCATTTATTTTAATGTTTTTAGGTATTTGGATGTTCTTTCTACCTATTTATTAAGTAAAATATATTTTAATATAAATATAGGTTTTATCTTTATTTCCAATTTTTGGATAATCAGATATTGGACCTTATTTAGGTGCAATCGTAGGGTTTATCTTTGCTAGTGTATTTTGGTTGATTATTGTTGGAATATCATATTGGTATAATATTTTCTAATTTAGACAAGCTTCTATAATAAAAAAGTAGGATTAACTCTCATTTTTGTTGGAATTTCTATATGCATGGTACTTATTATTTGTACCCATTTTGATTACTAGATTCAATCTAAATCATTTTTAGAAATTTAGTAAAGATGGTTTTCATGAAATCATAAAAAATATTCAACATTATTTATTCGTTTTTGACATAAATAAATCATACGAATTTTAATTATGATAAAATGCAATTTGATTATTCATTCTGTGTTAATAATTAAACTTACTCTTTTATTCTTCAATAAAGTTTTTTTGATTACTTTATTATCTTTAATTTAATGTCAAGTGATTTAGACATAGAAATTTAATCGAATTTTGTTTCATTATATGAAAATTATGAAAAGCTAAGTATATTGGATATAAAAACCAAAGCAGATGTTGAAAAAGCAACAAATACACCTAAAATTTAAATAATTTAATAAGATCCTTTTCTAGATTAAGAGATTGGTTCAGCTTTGAGATTAAAATAACGTGACATTAAAACAGTTTAAAAAGAATCAAAATTTTGTCGATAAAGAGTAACATCTATAAATAAAAATACAAGTTAATTGAATATATCAAAGGAATCAATTGAGAGAAAAGGAATTTTAAAGAAACGAGACTCATAACAAAGTTCCAGTTCTGATGAAAAAATAACTCCAAAACATGTGAAATTTAATTCTGAATCTTGTTAATTTGTACATATGGCATTAAAATGAATTATAACTTTAACAATTATTTCTATATATTTATATATATAATATTAGCTATATATTTTAAATCATATGGCTATTCTATAGGTGACATATAACCCAGCTGTTTCACTTTTTCTTATAATTTTGACAACATCTCCATGATGAAGACCTAAAAACTTTGCAATTGGATCACTTTATAAAATTCTTGGTAATTAATTATCTACTAAACCATATTTTCTTTATAATAACTAAAAATTAAATAATTGTATTACTTCTTTTTCTTTTTCATTTAATATTATATGTTAAGGTACTAGTTCATGTTTTGTTACATCATAAACTAAATCATCTTCTCCAAATAATTCAAATGAATAAGTTTGAATGGAATTAACTTAATCGATAAATAATCTTGCTTTTTTATCTACAATTTATGGTTTTGTAGCAAATGGATCAGTAGGGAAAACCATTATAAGTCTCTTAATTTAATGATTTGTAAAATCAACTATAATTTTTTTTGCATCATCCAAAGTTAGAGCTGCTTATTTAGTGTAAAATATTATAAGCAATTTATCTGTTTCATCTTCTCTCTAATATATGATAATTTCATTTTTACTTTGAAGCATATTATTCTATTTGGTAAAGCATCTGTTCGATATTTGGCTTCAAATTATTCCCAGGACTCATCTTCATCAAGAATCTTTGTTGGTTCAATGAAACCTCTTTATCGAATCATTGAAGCTAAAGTTTAAAACACTTTGTATTTCTTTTTTATAGAAGCCTTTTCTTCAGGTCTGTATTCTTCTTCAATCATTAATTAAATTTATGTACCAAATTAATTTAGAGATAATTTAAACAAGCATTAAATATATTTCATATTTTATTCAAAATAATATAAATGAAAAAATCATATATTTTGAATCATAAAATCATACATATATTATCATACAAAAATCATTTTTAATTATCTATTTTCTTATTTACTCAGATATAATTAATGATAATCATATAAATTAATTGTGTATTTATTACAATCTTCACTGTCAATTTCATCCATTATTTTAAAAGTAAATATAATTGGAATATTTCAATAACAACAGAACAATTATGAATAACTTTTTTTGGAGGAGATTATGTATCAAATTCTTAATGATTTTCTTAGTCTCTTTCTCACCATGAGACATTATAATTACAAATAATATAACATGGCCTCGAAATCTTCAATCTCCTGTATCTGTAATTAAATAATTATTATGCTTTATTAAAAATTCATTTGAATTCTCATAAACCATCTGATAATATAATAACATGAATATATTTATTTAAAGAGCAGTTTTAGAAATACCTCAAAACCAAAAATATTTGAAACTATTTCGCCTATCTATCATACATTACTATATTTATCACATATGTCTTTCTTTTATTTTACACTAAATTACAATTAAAAATTTAAAATTTCTCATTTTATTTTAGTCTAAATACTTTTCACTTTTATTATTAATTTTTTCTAAAATCAATCTAATTACAAATAGATTCTGATTATATTAAGTTTAAAAATATTTGATTTAAACTATTAAGATCTTTTTTTTGTTCTATTGAGGAGCTGAAAATAAAAAATAATGATCTTAATAATGATAAAAAGCCGAATTTTAAACAATAATAAAGTTCAGTCTAATTAAAGTAAATTCTTCAAAAAAAAATCAAGAAACCTTTAATCAATCTAAAAGTTATAATAATTAATATAATTATACCAACTTTATATCTACTCTATAATAATAACAAATGCATTTAAAACATGAATTTGAAAATAGGTAAAAACTACCTAATTCAAATACAACTTAAACTGAATTTTTCGAAAGTATCTATCAATGTGATATTCATGTTTTCAAACCCTAAGTAACCAAAATCTAGACTTAATTCATCAATACTTAATTCAAAATACCAATAAAATAATTATTTATGAAAGTAATATTAGTTAAGTTAATTTAATAATAAATAAATAAGGCATATTTGACAATTAAAGAATCTCATTTTCCATATTGTTGTAGTAAAAATAATATAATTATAACTAAATAGTTCAAACTATCATATTAATTTTAAATTTTTAATATTGATTAACTATAATTTGATGAATTTTATATATATTAGATTTATGGGATAATTATTAGGAATTAGAAATAAATGCTATTAAAAATTTCACACATATTTGATTGTTATTTGCATTAAGAGTTTTTTTTTATGTTATATAAAATTGATAAAAATTTGATGAAAAAAATAGAAAATTAGAAATGAAGCAAAATGATGAATTTTATTAAATAATTTTTATTTTATATATTAATGGGAATTTGCAAAGGAAAACCAAAATAAAATGGAGGAAATTTTTCCTCTAACCCTTTGAATAAGGAAACTGATATGATTGATGAAAATTTAAAGAGAATAAAAAAATAATTTGATGATTTAACTTTATTATTAGAGTGTGTAAGATAATTTTATAATTTTAGATGAGCTAAGAGTTCAAAGCTATAACTGATAGCATAATAAAATTACAGATGTCATAATAACAACAAAATGAAAAATGAATTATGAAATATTCATATGGAACTAAAGATTATTATATAATATATAATTTAATGTAATTAAGGATTAAGATAATGTTGATGATAGTGTTTTTATCACTTTACTATTTTCTCTTTAGTCTAGTTTTATTATTAGGTTAATATTTTGATGAAGAACTTAGAATAGAGAGTGAAAAGCTATCGTAAGGAATTTATAATGAAACATCTTTGGTAAAAAGTCAATAATTTAAGATTAGAGTAAAATAAGATTTGCTCGCTTTTATTATGGGAGATCGAATAGGCCGAATATAAATTCATTTTATGCTATTTCACATATAATAAATTACTTAGAAGATTATTAATAATTAGATGATGAGAGTTTAAATGAAATAGATTGGAATTTTAAAGATGTAACTAGTTTGAAAGCATTATAACAAAATTATCCAGATTAATATAAACTATTAAAATATTATTCTCCTTTATCGAAATTGATTGGAATTTATGCAAAAAATAAAGTATTTGATCATTTTCATTTTTTATGTTAAAATGGTTTAGGATTTTCATTTTATAGTAGTGGTGTAGATACTACTAAAGAGAATTGGTCTAAAGATTCAATATAATATTGTAAGGCATATAATGATTGTTCTGACTTTATAAATTAATTGTCATCACAAATTGCATATCCTAAATTAGACATAAATTATGAAGTTTGGAGAATGAGAGCTGGAAAGATAGGTATTGAATGTGAGTTACATGTTGAGAAGAAAAGTCAACTTGCTATAATAAATACAAGTAGTCCAATAATTTATTCATTTCTTACAAATGGGAACATTAATACAATTTCTCATGGAGAACTTGTTGATAGTACTCTTGAGGAAGCATTCTAACTTTGGCCTAATCAAACAAACGATTTTATAAATGAAATATATACATTAGTTACAGTTCCTATTGAATAGAGATAATGGAGAATGTTATATAATGGAAAAGGAGAGGAACGAATTGTCTTTTTTTCATCATATCATTTTCTTAATCCTAACTATCCTAATATTACTTTAACAAAAGAATTAATAACTAATTGTTCTATGATTTATCTTTAATCTATGTCATTATCTTATTATCTATAATTGGCAGGTTAAAATGTAGAAGCAACTACTGTCTTAATTAATGAGATTATTATTGCTTGTGCTCTACATATGGTTCTTATTTTATATTTCTGGAGGAAAGGTGTTGTTATTGCACTTTCACTAGAAGCACCTATTAATGAATTGATTAATCTTTTAAGAGTAGATATGAAATATCTTGAAGTCTAAGATTTTAATTTAGAAGGTTATCAGCATTTCTTTAATAATAAAGAAATCACTAAATCTTATGAAGTCATTATCAATTATTTAAATAGCATTAAATATTAAAATAATAAATTATTGTAAGGATCTAAAGATATGGATGAAGCTGAAGCTTTAATTATTTTAAGTATGTCCAAAAGATTCTATAAAAAATAAAATAATAATGCTGCTGTTGGAATTTGTGCAAATAATATTGCTAAAATTCATATGAGAAATTAACGATATCTTGAGGCTATGAATGAGTAAGAGGAATCTGTTCTCATTGCTAATTAAGATTTACAAAGTCTAAAAGAAATGGAATAATATGCAAACTAAGCAGCATAACTCTAAGATGACTAATAAATTGTTAAATTGTATCTTAGATTAAAAAATAATGTTTTATAGAAATTCTAAAGACAAGAAGAGAAATAAATGAAAGATGTGATAAAAAATTTGGAAAGCAAAACAAAAGTAATATAAAATTCTCAAAATTGTATTGTTAGAAGACCAACTACTTAAAAAATGAAAAATTAAAATGAAATTGCTTAATTAAAAAGTTCAATTGAATCTGAAGTACATCTATAACGCTAATCAACACCTAGATAAACTACTACTAATTGGTTAAGAAATCCTTAATAAGAAGAAAAAAATCCCATAAGAGAAGAAAATTCTGATTTATAAAGTGAGAGAATAGACAATTTAGGAACTCCAAAAAAATCTAGTCCTAACTCTAAAGTCTAAAATTATGAAGGCAACTCGAAATAATAAGTAATAATTGAACATAAAATTGCTTTTCGAAAATATTAATTAGCATGTATACTATATAATTATAGTATGACAAAATCCTAATCAACTTTTTTAAATGAAAGTGTTAAATAATTCAACGATATTATGGAGGATTTATAGATTCTTCCTGATTCATTTTCTACCTAATATATGAAAATAAATATTTTAACAAAAAAAGCTTTTTGTTTTGCCAGGGCTGGAATTTTCGATAAAGCAAAACATGAATTCGAAGAAGCAGAAGCAAAATTTAAAATTTTAGAAGCAAATAAAACTGAAATAAAATAACTTGATATTTCTGATTTTGTAGATATTTTTCGAGAAATTCCATTAGAGATTGTAAGAGAAAAATTAACAGGCTTAGAAGTAATAAATTTATATAAATATAGGCATCATTATTAATGATTTAAGGAAAATATGTTGAAGCTTGTTATAAATTTATATCTATTTTACAAGCAGAGGGACATTATGATCCAGGATTTTAGAAATTTGTTTTAAAAACATTAACAAAAATATTTAAAAAATGCAAAGTAGATCATAATTGTTTAATAAAATTTTCTTAATAAAATTAATTGAAAAGACTTGAATTGATATTTCTACTTGATTATTCTTCAGAAATGACAAATGAATAATTTACATTATCTCATCATATGTGTCATAATGTTGTATAATCATTAAATGATGATTCTTTTGTTGGATTATATGCTTTCAATGAATCTTTACATGAGATTTTCCCTTTATAATTGAAAGGAACCTACAAAAAGCTTTTAGAATCGACAATAGAAAAAGTATTAATTAAACCTGGAGGTTAAGGTAATATATTTTCAGCTCTAGAAATTACAATTGCATCTTTATTCGAAAAGGATAAACCTGAATAAAGCAAATAATTATCATTACATTTAAAGTCTAATTAAATTAAATAGCAAATAGAATAAGAAGAGTTTAGATGCTCTGATCTTGAGTTTAGATGTAAAACTAGTTCTCCAAAAGTAGGAATAGCATTTTCTGGTGGATTTACTTAAGTTATTAAACAATATGAAGAACAATAATTTGATAATGTCAGTATTGATTAAAATATGGTATATCATCATTATATTCTTTATAGAATTATAAAATTGATATCGAAAATATTGAAGAAGAAAAAGATGAACATACCGTTAGATATGTTTGTATCTTTAGTGAAGGAGTACATAATTATAATTAAATGTCTATCGATAGATTAAAAAGCTTAATAGAAAAAAAAAATATCCATTTATTAGTTTTTAATATAGCAAATTAAAATATGAACATGCTTTATCTCAAATAATTATCTTAAGTCTCTTCAGAAAGTAAATTTTTTACTAATGAAACAGAAATTAAAGATTTTTTTTCAAAACTTAGAACTAATGATTTTACAAAAAGAGTTTATTTAGAATTCTTCTGATATTTATTACTATTAATATCATTATTTACAGATATATATATCAAGATTTTATTAACTTTTTTTGTATTGAAGATTTATAATTTAATATTTGAAATGGATGGATATTCTTTATCTATATTTAAGTTAAGATTATTGCATTTTGAGACATAGATATTTAATAAGTAAATAATATAAATATCTTATGTTGTTACTTAAATGATTAAAATATGAAAGATATCTACTCATTGTCATTATTATTGAAATAATATCATATACTTTTGAAGAATCATTTATTTAGTTTAATGCAAATGATTTTCTATTAAAGATATATGCTATCTAAGTTCTTATATTTTGATAGCATTATCTATATTTTGATTTCTAAAATATTAATAGTGAATTACTATTGTAATTATTAAATTTTTAAGATTATTTCAGCAATACTATCTCCTTAAAGATCAGTATTTTTACTACAAATTTTAAGTTTTTTTAACAGATGATGTTTGACTTAATTTACAGTAGAACCTGGAATTTATTAAGCAATATCTGTAAAACTAGTTCCTTTTCTTGATTATTCTATAATGAATGCTTCTTCAGATATTGTGAACCGTTATTTAGCTGGTATATAATATATATGTATACTTGATCTACAAGACCGTGGTTTTAATTTTTTTTTATCCTTTCTTTTTGTTTAACAATCTGAACACTATGAACAACTGGCCTCTACATCATAATTATCTTCCAATTCAAATTGCTACTATTTTTTAATCAATTCTTCAGAAATGACTTACTCTGATTTTTCATTTCTTAATTATTATCTTTCACTATATGGAAACAGATATTATTCGGTTTTTTTGGCAGATAATTCAAATATAGATTCTTCTTCTAAGATATTTGAACCAACATTTGTAGAAATATCTTAATCTTATTTAGGTGACGGAATGAATTATTATTTCCAAAATATTGTCGCTTAATTACAAATTTTTTCAAGACCATTTCGATTCATTAGATTTAATAATTAAAAATGAAAAATGAAAAAAAAATGAATAAATAAACTTCAAATTTTTCTTTTTATTTGGATGCCATTTATTTGATTTGATTATTTACTAATCTTTCCTAAATATTATATTTCCTATTACAAAATTGGTTCTGAATTTTTCCATTTTTCAATCTCTTTTTCACATGCATTAACTTCATTTAATTAAATATAAGTATCCTCCATTTTTTCTATTAACATTTTTAGTAAATCATTATCAATTACAATTTTTGATAAGTTTTTCTCACTTAAATCAATATCACACTCCTTATTATAAAGTTATTAATAACAATAACGAAAAGATTACCCTAAATGATTTAAACTTAATTTTTCACATCCATTTTCATTTTATAACAAAATTGCATTTCCAATTTTAAAATGAACCGCACTAAGTTCTTTATAATTATAAGAATTTTTCAAAATATCCAATGCTGCATTAAAATTTAATAGACCATCCTTATAATCTTCCCTCCAAGTTTAAAGATCTCCTATTCTTATCAATATCAAACTCATTTCTAATTCTGTTTCATTGATTTTAGATCTAATTTCTAAGAATATCTATAATATATACATTGTAGCTACTCCTATAATTTATACATCTCAATATTTTGCTTATCAAGTCTATTACGTATAATTGTCTTTGCTGCTTCTAAATTCTCAAAAGCCAATTAAGTATTCTTTAATTCTCTATCATTTCTTGAAATCTCTACACAATTTAATGAATTTTCAACAGAATCTTGAGATTATTCTAATATTTAAACTAATATGCTTCCATATTCAAAATAAAATTAAGCCATATTATTATCTAATTAATCTTGATAATATTGGGCTGCTTTTTCAATTAATTTAACCATTTTATCTTCCAATTCTTTCAAATCTATACTTTCATTTTTTAAGCATCTTATCGCATCAAGTTCTTTTATCAAAGATTTTTCTTTTTTTTTCGATTTCATTATTTTTTAAATATATAAAATTAAATACTATCATAAAGAATAGAAATTCTATATCAATGTTATAACATATACTTTATTTAATCACAAAGTTGAGGTCTCAATATATTTACAATTATTTAGACTGAAACAAAAAATGGATGTTAAATTTATCATTTATTATAATTTTTTGCTCATTTAACCAACAAAATAATTGCAATGCTGGTTGTGATTATATTAATAATCTATTCAATGTTGATTTAATCTATTCACTATGAAAAGGTTAATATAGTCTCTTGTTTCCTTCTTATATATTATAACTTTATATTATTCATAATCTTAAGAAGAATCAAATGATATAAGTCAATTCATTATAATCATTTTTTGATTCGCCTTATAATAAAGAATTATACAAAATTTCTGAAGAGATTACTGAATATCAGAAATAAGTCATACGTTAAAGATAGAAAGTTAGCTTTTTTATAAAACGCAATCATGGAATTAATATCAAAATCTTTTTCCCTGTATTTATTTAATAATAATAAATTAAAATATTTATATATATTCAATGAATTTCATATCCCATAAAATGATATGAAAATGTATCATAAACGGGATTGCATAAATTGAAACCAGGTTTTTGAGTTTCATTTAAAAGAAAATAAAAATCATTCCAACTTAAAATAGATAATCTCAATTTATAAACTCTTAAAAATGTCTCATTTAACATTATTGAGTCATTTAAAAAAGAAAGAATATATGCTTATTGATTATGAGATAAATTATGCTAAATTTATATTGAATATCATGATATATAGGAATTTGATAAAGATCATTAAAATTAATCAATAATTTTGAAAACTAATTTAAATTTTGCTGCAAAAATATTAAAAATAAAGGCAAATTAATAAAGGACATAAAATGATACTTCATATACAATTTACTCATATTTTAGACACCTAAATTAGGCAGGAATACAAAAATAAATGAATTTAAACTGAATTAAAAGTTTATATTAAAAGAATTATTTTTTAAAGTCCAACTTTCTTGTTTCTGGTTTTTCAAAAAATTTCTTTAATTTTTTGTTCATTTACTAAATACATTTAATATCTCTATTTAATTTTACCTAATTCATTTAACTAATTCAAAATAATTTTCTAATAAACTAAATAATAAACATATATATAATATATATATTATAATTTATTATTTATTTTCTAGGCGAAAAGAAATAAAAAGAATCTTAATAAGTAATCGATATTTTAAAAAAAATTACATAGACATTTACTAGAAAAACAAAATTTGTAGCATTTAAAAATTTTTTATTTTCAAAATAAACAGGAGAAATTTTTGAGTTCGTTTTATTTTGTTATGATGATTAAATTCAACAAAAAGTCATGATAAAGCTATTTAAGAAATAAATTATTGTATAAGAAAGTGTTTGTTATTTATACTTAAATAATTGGAGAATTTAAATATTCATCCATCATGAATTTAAATATAATGAATAATACTTATTAAATTAAATTAAAATAATAGGAAATCACCATCTACATTTTTGTTATATCATTCATAGGAAAATTTATTAAATCAAGTTTTAATTTAATCATATCGAAGTAAATTGAAAGATATTATTTTTTAATAAATTATAGTTATTATTATTGATAAAGCAAATTTGCTTAGAATAAATTTTTTCTATAAAGATAATTTATATAATTTACAATTATTGAGTTTGAATTAATTAATTATATAATTACATAATAAATTTGTTATTAGAAGAATAATTAAAAGAAACTTATTTTTCATTACCACAGAATATTCTGTAATAATAATTAATATATGAATTATAATTCATTTAAGCAATTTTTTAGCTTTAACAATTAAATTATCAATTATGTAGGGTTTGACGTAAGATTTCTCAGAAAATATCACTAGAATAAATTTTCCTGAGGGAAAATGAGAGGACACCTATGATTATATTTATAAAATGATAAAACTTCAGTGATTGATATTTTTTAAAATTCACCTTTTCCTCTTAGAAGTATTTGTGTCTACCCTTTTAATATTGGTTTTCCTTTTATATTAGCAAAAACTTCTTTTGGAAATTTCTCAGATGTGTATCTAAGTTAAAAGTGGAATTTTACATTTTTAAGAAAATAGGATAGTCTTCATCGTCTACAAGATCTCCATTCATATCTCTCAATGTAACAGAAAAATTGAACATCCTCTCTCTATATATTTCTTTGATTTCTTCTTCTAAATTCAAGTAAGATTAGAAATTCTTATGACCCAGTTGGTTAAAAATAAAATGATGTTAGCTAATTTAAATAAATATGATACTTCTATCTATGCATAGTAATTCTAGATTATAATCCTTATTTAGGGATAATTTTATTAGGTATATTTTCGATGCACTTTTTCAAAGAGTCTAATCCAATCGATAAATTATGTTAGATTAGACTTTATGTTTACAACATATCTCTTAGCATTTTAAGATTTAAGTCTTTTTATTTTTCTAAGAACTCTTCCAATTCTTACATAATAAGTTTTAAAATTATCTAATTATGATTCATTCAATAATTTGAAACATTTGAATTGTGTACTTTTTTAGAATAAAGGGAAATTTATTGAAATTATCATAATAAATGGTTGTAATAAAAGTATTTACTTCGAATTACAGTAATAATCTAAAGAGAAGAAGAGCTTTAATAAAATAAATGAAATAATTATATAAAAATAATCATTTATGTTGATATCAATGTTAAAGGCCTTGTTTTTAATAATGGCTTTGTACATAATTAGATTAAGTTGCATTAGGTTGAGCTAGAATACTAATCATTTTGCCTTCACCCATATCTTAATGTTGAGATTTATAGGCTATGATTGATTAATTAGTTTTTTTTCCTTATTAAATTATTAAAGGATTTTAAATCATTGGAATTACTTCATTAAGCATGATTGCATTTCTATTTGCAGCATGGATACCTAAAAATTAATATTATAAATTACCTATTTCTTAGTCAATATTTCCACCAACTGAATCATCATATAACATAGGAATCTATTTTTTTTTAAGTAAATCTCTAGCTTCTTAACATCCTATTTGAGCAGCTTTTTAATATCTTTATACAGCATAATGAACATCCTTTTTAACATATTTTCCAGCTTCATACATTAATCCCAAATGAAAATCAGCTTTTGGATTACCTAATTTTGCAGCTTCTTCATAAGCATTAAAAGCTTTAGCATAATCTATAGTTACTCCTTCATAACCTTATTCGTAAATTAAACCCATATTTATTAATGCTTCTGAATCTTTCATTTCTGCTGCTTCTTTATAAAATTTCAATGCTTCTCTTGAATTTTAAGGAACACCAAAACCACAATGATAACAATCTCCTAATTTTGTCATGCAAGATGAATTTTTTAGTTTAGCACCTTTAAAATAATAATGAATAGCATTTTATGGATCTTTTTAAACACCAAAACCACATTCATAAAGATGTCCTAAATAAAAATAAACTTCAGTTATATCTGGATTTTAAATCATTATTTGAATCAAATATTAATGTGCAAATAAATAATCTTCTTATTTACCAGAGTTGCTACAATCTTTCATTACGTAATGCATATATTAGAGTCTACATGAAGCATCTCCTTTTAAAGCACCTTCTTTATAATAGCTTTTAGCTTATTCTAAATTGACTGCAACTCCATAACCAAATTCATAACATTAAGCCAACCAATATAATGAATTAGCATAACCTAATTCTTTAGCTATTTCAAAATATTTAAGAGCTTTTCGATAATTATTTCCTTAGACTTTTTCTTAAAAATCTGGATGATTATAATAAAAAAGTCCTAATGCATTAATAGCTCTAGGATATCTAACTTTTTTTCCTTAAGAATAATAAAATTCTGCAGATTCCAAACTAGGTTCTTAAATATCTATATAAAATAAGATTAATAAACTACATGCTTCATTATCTTCACTTTTAAGTCCATTTTCAAATATTTCTCCAAGATCAACAAGAGCATCTAAATGTCCTTATTCACTAGCTTATTAAAAGAATACAACAGCTTCTGATTTTTATTCATCTCTAGTTTATAATTTTCCTTATGATAGCATTTGTCCATCTATTACTTAATCTAATAATAATCGACCTATCTTATATAATCCTTCTGCATTTTATTAGGCAGCACTCTTTTCCCAATAAGTGTAAGCTTTATTTAAATCTTTTGGGAAAAACTTTCCTTCAGAGAATATTTAAGCTATGATATTGAAGGAATTAACATCTTAATTAACTTCTGCTAATTCATAATAAAGATTTAAAGCCTCAGTTACATTTTAAGGTCTTCCTATTCCATATAACATTTCATGTGCCAATCTTAATCTATCATCTTAAACTGGTTAATCTCTATAAACTGGGACTTCTTTTATCTTCTCTACATATTCAATCACCTTTTTCTCAACTGGTTTATCAACATATACTATTTTTTCAACTGGTTTATCAACATATACAATTTTATCTACTGGTTTGTCTATATACACTATTTTATCAACAGGTTTTTCAATAATTTTAGTTTCACCAGCTGCACTTGGAAAATAATCATTTAAAGATTTAATTAAGAATGTTCTGAAATCTTCATAATTTAAACTAGTCTTCACTACAAAGATATCAACATTATTGTTTTCTAAATTTGGTAATGCTGTCCATTAGATAAAGTCTAACTCTATTTTTCTAAATTCATTTTCAAAATTTTTTAAAGCTTCTCCTTTTCCACAACAACCTGCTGCTGCTAATCTAGTAAGACTAGCACTAATAGAATTCATATTATCTTATGTTGATTTAGCCAAAGTCTAATAGTATTCATTTAACTTAATTTTAACTTTGGATTTATCCTATTCTATATTAAAAATCAATTTTTATTAATCAAGAAATGGTTTTGCAAATCTTTATCTAGCCTCTTATGGAATCTTTTAGTTATCTTATATTAAGTTTGCTATTCTTTCTATAAAAATTTAAATTAAATCAGTTACTAAATGGTTGTTCTGTTGACCATCCCTTAATTTTCTACCACAATGCAACAGAAACTTAATCATTTTTTCCTTGATCTTGCTTTTACTTCATTTATCTTTCTTATTCCCCCTGATTTAAATAAAAATGTATTACTTCTATATCTTTGATTGTAGTCTTCAAACGTTCCATTATAATTTGTTCTAACTAAGCTATAACATGTTCCTTCTTTCCTAAATCATGTTTATCTTTGCTTCCACTTGCTGGTCTAGCATTTGAATGAGTTGAACGATCCATTTTATTAAAAATATTTTGAATTAAGAAAACAACTTGTAATATATATATACTGATTTTATTCGTTATATATCAAATTCATTCAGTTTATGTTCCTTATCCTCCTTCTCCTTATCCTCCTTATCCTCCTTCTCCTTATTCTCCTCCTTCTCCTTATTAACCTCCTTCTTATTACTCTTTTTATTCTTCTTATTTTTATTCCTTATTTTTTATATCTATATTTTTTACTTATTTTTCTTAATCACATATTATTGATTAACCTCCTAAATAAGTTCTATCAAAATCTTCAGGTGGTAATCTTGTTGCTGCCATTAATTTTTCTTTAACTGCTATTTCTCTTTATTAAGTTTCTTATAATCTTTCTACCAATTTTAATTCCTATGCTTCTAATTACTTTATTTAATACTCCTATTTCTCATTCTCCATTATTATTTTCTATCTCTCTCTCTCTTATTCTAATCTCACCTTTTATTATTTTTCTTATAGTTTCTCCTATATCACTGCTTATGATAATTTCTCCTCTTCTTTCTTTAATGCTGCTTTCAATCTTAAATTTTAAGCTATTTTTGATTGCTCATCATTTGTTCTCATCAATTCAAATTTTATAGATTTTTTCATTAATTATGCATCTTAATGTTTCATCTCTTTTACTTCTTATTTCATCTTTTTTAAATGCATTCTTTCATATTAAGTTTACTAATATTTTGCTGGATCAATCAAAGATAGTTAATGTTATTTCTGTTCTTTCTATTTTATTTATTACACCTGAAATAATTACTTTCTACTTCTATGCAAGTCGTTAAGCATATACATCAAGTGCTAATTGTTCTGCTATTTCTACTTTTTTTGACAGTTTCTCATTTTCTTTCTTTAATTATTTGATTCTATTCTCAACATTCTAAGATTCTAATTCAAGTTATTTTTATTTCCTTTTAGCTTCATTTAAACTGAAATCTTCAGATGTTCTTACTGATTACACTGAAGAACTTTGATTTAATTTTGGCAACATATTATAATTATTTATTTATATGATAATCATTAAAAGTTTTCTCTTAATCCTTAAGATTAACCTATAACTTTTCTTTTTCTTTCTTCAATTTTATCACCTTAAATTGAAGGTTTTTATTAATTATATTATTAAATTAATAATCTCGATTTTTCAATCTCTGATTTCAATTTCATCATATTCTACTCATTTGTTATCTTTGGAGCCAAATTTTCTTTATTACAATAAACAATTTATCTCTATTAAATTAATTGCGATTAAAAGCCTGAATTAAATTATTACTAAATTGGACTAGAATTCTTTTATGGTGTATATTTTTATTAATAACGTGAATTTTTTACTAAAATTATATATATCTATAATTTATACCCATTCGCGATGCTGAATGTGATTTTTCTTAATTTTCTATTTTTCCATCTGGATGAATGTAAACTTTCACTATTCTACTAGGTGTTGTTTCTCTTGAAATACCACTTTCATATTAAACTATCTTAAAATCTTGAGATGGCTTCTATTAATGATAATTAATTCTAGTTTATTAATTTACAATCTATGGTTAAATTTATATTTAATTTCTATATGGTGAAGATTGTTGAGTTTAATTAAATTAATATTGTTATTATTATTACTAAAAATAATATTAATTTTATTAAAAGTTCTGTTACTATTATTAAGATATTGGACTATATTATTAAATTGGACTATATTATTAAATTGGACTATATTATTAAATTGGACTAAAATGCTAACTTGGACTATATTGGGAAATCTTTTAATCATTTCTAAATTATTGTTATTAATAAATTAATTATTATTGTTATTGTTGTTTAATTAATTGTTACTACAATAATTGTTACTAATATTATTATTATAACTATTATTCTTAATCATTTACAATTCTCTATTATTCTAGAAGATAATTAAATAAATTAACTGGATCTAATCTTTCATTTGGATTGAAATTAAGCATCAACATCATATTATCTGCAAATTACCTTCCATAAATGGTTCCAATTTCATTTATTCTTTCTTAAACAAATTTTAACTATAATCCATTTTTATATAGGGAATCACTTGATTTTAATGTACCTGCTTCTAAAATTACCATTCCCAAACACCAGATGTCATTTTTATGTAATTAGTATTCTGAGATGTTTTGAGTAGGATTCACTAAGATTTCAGGAGCCAAATACTTTAATTTGCCATTAATAAATTCATCTATTGAATTCCCTCTTCCATTAATCAAATTAGAGTCTAGAATTTTAAAGCTTGAACTATTTGAATCAAAAAATATTTCTTAAGTGCAAATGTCTTAAAAATTATTATTTATATATACCTCCATGTGATAGTCCTTTCTCTTAAAGAAAACTTAGAGCACTAACAATCCCAAGTAGTAATGCTTATAAATCTTCTTCTGGGAAGTATTTTTTGGTTCCATATCTCTCTGTTAATAAAGTGGATAAGGTTATTGAACAAATCTCAAAATAATATCTAAATTAATCTCCTTCAGGTTAACCTCCCAAAGTTTATAAAAGATGTGGATGTTGCAAACCAATTCTCCATTGATTTTTTTACATATTCTGGATTTAACCAGGTTCAGAAAGGATCTTAGAATGATGATTTAGAAAATCTGTCTTGCTATTTCCTTAACAGGGTTCGTTACCCATTTATATTTTTAACNGAAGATTGTTGAGTTTAATTAAATTAATATTGTTATTATTATTACTAAAAATAATATTAATTTTATTAAAAGTTCTGTTACTATTATTAAGATATTGGACTATATTATTAAATTGGACTATATTATTAAATTGGACTATATTATTAAATTGGACTAAAATGCTAACTTGGACTATATTGGGAAATCTTTTAATCATTTCTAAATTATTGTTATTAATAAATTAATTATTATTGTTATTGTTGTTTAATTAATTGTTACTACAATAATTGTTACTAATATTATTATTATAACTATTATTCTTAATCATTTACAATTCTCTATTATTCTAGAAGATAATTAAATAAATTAACTGGATCTAATCTTTCATTTGGATTGAAATTAAGCATCAACATCATATTATCTGCAAATTACCTTCCATAAATGGTTCCAATTTCATTTATTCTTTCTTAAACAAATTTTAACTATAATCCATTTTTATATAGGGAATCACTTGATTTTAATGTACCTGCTTCTAAAATTACCATTCCCAAACACCAGATGTCATTTTTATGTAATTAGTATTCTGAGATGTTTTGAGTAGGATTCACTAAGATTTCAGGAGCCAAATACTTTAATTTGCCATTAATAAATTCATCTATTGAATTCCCTCTTCCATTAATCAAATTAGAGTCTAGAATTTTAAAGCTTGAACTATTTGAATCAAAAAATATTTCTTAAGTGCAAATGTCTTAAAAATTATTATTTATATATACCTCCATGTGATAGTCCTTTCTCTTAAAGAAAACTTAGAGCACTAACAATCCCAAGTAGTAATGCTTATAAATCTTCTTCTGGGAAGTATTTTTTGGTTCCATATCTCTCTGTTAATAAAGTGGATAAGGTTATTGAACAAATCTCAAAATAATATCTAAATTAATCTCCTTCAGGTTAACCTCCCAAAGTTTATAAAAGATGTGGATGTTGCAAACCAATTCTCCATTGATTTTTTTACATATTCTGGATTTAACCAGGTTCAGAAAGGATCTTAGAATGATGATTTAGAAAATCTGTCTTGCTATTTCCTTAACAGGGTTCGTTACCCATTTATATTTTTAACGAATTTTTAATTATATTCATTTTAAGGCATCAACTTATATTAAATAAAAAATTAATTCAGATTATTTTTGAATATTAAGGATACTATTTCAAAGGGATTTGATCATTATAATGTAATAAGATAATAATTAAAGATAGAATTTTTATTCTTATCATGAAACTAGATAAATAGGATATAAATTATATAGAATTGATATTAAATCATATTTAGAAAGATAAATTGAATTCAAATATATATCAAATTGATAACATGATATCTTAAATTATTAAAAAGGATGACATGTGGAATAGAGTTTCACAATTATAAATTTATTTAAATAAATTAATTAAAATTTTTTATAGATTACATCATGTAAAGAGTGAATTTGCGAAATCACATATTAAGTAATCATAATCATGAAAATCGAAAAGCTGAGGTATATGTTTTTCGATTGGTTTTTTTCGTTGAGTCCACCGAGAACCCTCTTACTCTTTTTTAACTTACTTAATCTATTCTTCTCCAGGAATCAAAATTAAGTTCTTAACACTATCTAGTACTTCTCATATCTAATTCATGTTTAATAAGAGGGATTTCTTATTTAAAATAATCTTTTTTAGCTCTTTACCACTTAGAAGTAAGACCCATACAAATGGTAGCATCATACTCTGCATTATCTCTAATCTTTCTTGTTAAAGAAATGTGATCCTAGATAAAAGTTTTGAATTATTCTTTTTGTTTTTCTCTAAGTTTATTTAGTGGTAGATCTCCCAAGACATAAGTTGTTTTATTGAGTTTAGCCTTAGGACTTACTTTAACAAACTATTCACAATATTATTTGAATGAGATGTTAGGATGCTTAGGTAATTGATTTTACTTATTAATCATATTTTATTATATATCAAAATGATTATGAATAATCGACGAGTGTTTTATGATGAGTCCATTTGGGAACGATTTGAGAATAGAATAAAAACATGGACTTATGGACTAACCCATGAATTATTACAGAATCAAGTTTGTAGCCCTTTCTTGTTCAAGTTCCTAATATTGATTGAGCTCATCTAACTTGTATTTTTTGAATTGATAAATAATTTAGCTATATTATTCCATCCATCCAAACTTAGAATTTTTATTCTAAACAGTATGGCTGGACTACTTCCGCAATGCATTACAATACTTTTAAATTAATTATATCATATTCAATGGTGGAGTGAACGTGTTGTTAATAGTAATGTACATTGTAAGTTTTATTTTTCTATTATTTATAGGCTTTTGGAGTTCAGATATTAATGTTATAGTTGTTGATAATAATAACATTCAAATTAACATCAAATAAGAGAAAACCAAGCACCTTTCTTACATACTGTCTAAAAATATTTTCATTGTATGGATTACTTTTGAATACTATTCTGACAATCCCTATATTCAACGCCTTTATAGCAACTATTTATTGTAATTCTAAAGCTCCATTTTCAGATGGCTTAGAATGTTATGCAGGTTTGCATTTTTTGCATATATCTTTGGCTGTATTATAATCAATAATCATTTTAGATTATTGGTTTGATCTTATTTTTAATCAATGTACTCTATTTTGGATTACTTTATGCTGAACTCAATCCAAGTTCTCCAATTCCCTTTGCCTCTCCTCAGTCAAAAACTCCGTTGGTTAGACAATTGATTAAAATTATACTTCCACTTTATGTGACTCTTGATTTCGATGGTGAAATCTCTAAAGTTTATATTTCTCTACTGGCAGCATTTTATTTACTATTGTTGGTCTAAAGATATCGATCACCTCCTTATTATAATAAGAGTGTTTATGGATTCATTGTAGTTTAGGAAGTTATACTATTTTGGGCTAGTTTAGTTGGTGTTATTACTGCATTTCTGGATTTGGATACTGTTGATGATATTGGGTTATTTTATATGATTTTAGGAATGCCATTAATGTCATTAGTTTATTTCTAATTGTTAACATTTAGACAATAATAATTATTAAAAACACCTATCAAGTCATTTAAAAAAGAAACAGATATTGAAATATATATAAATCATCTCATGGATCTAATTGAAAATCGTGAAATTCTATAATCAAGAATTATTTTGGAAGGAGTATTAAAATTGCATTTAAAAAATTGTGGAAAACCAAGTGAGAATTGTGTGTGTCAATAGTTGGTGTCTGATAATTTAAAAGATGAAGAGACACCTTAAAAATTGAAAAGATGGTATTAATTAATAAAGAGTATAATATCTGATGCATTGGATAGATATCCAAAATGTCCAAGATTGCATTTGTTGAATTCATACATTCATCATGAGAAATTAAAGAATAAATTTAAAGCTTTATTTGAATTGATGATTACTGAAGAAAACAAACCTAATTTGCATGAGGAATTTAGTATTTATCGATATAAGAATTTGATTGAAGAGGAGATGATAGAAAATGATATGAGAACATCAGAAAATAAAGGAGTAGATGTAAATATCATAGTGGTATTTTAAAATAAATTTGTAAATTTTCTAAGCAGTATAGAGAAGAGCGTAACATTACATATGGAGTTTTGGAGAGAATTATTAGAGGAGAATCCAGATATATAGAAATTGTAATCTCTTGGATCAAAAATAACAAATACAGTAGAATCTACAAGTGATTTCTATAAAAAGCTTTAGGAAATGAATTAGAATCATATAAAATGTTTATAAGTTTATGGGAACTTTTTAAAAGATATAGTGAATGATGATGTTGAAGGGTAAAGAATTTTAGAGAAGGCAGAATATATTTAAAAGAGCACAGCAGTGAATAAATTAGGACTGGATTAAGAAAGATAGAAATATGGTGAGAATGCAAATACATGTATAATAACTTGTTCAGGGAATTATAATAATATAGGTGTAGTAACAAATGTGAATAATGAAATAACTAGAATATTGGGATTTTCTAAATCAGATATAATAGGTTAGAATGTGAATAGAATAATGCCAAAAGTATATGCAGATTAACACGATTAATTTATGAAGAATTATTTAGAAACAAGTGATTCAAAAGTAATAGGATAAGAAAGGATTCTGTTGGCTTAAAATAAAAATAACTATTTAGTTCCATGTACATTGATGATTAAAGTGTTACCAAATTTGGATGAAGGGATTTAAATAGTAGGATTCTTAAAGGATATAGAACCTGGGAGTTCTTATTTGAGAAGTGAATAAGATATAGATTAAGATTGGCATTTCATAATAATAAATGTTAATAGTTAAGCCATATTAGGAATAACATAATCCTGTTATACAAGATATGGTATTCCAGCATCTTTAGTATATGGTAATTCAACTAATACAAATGAATTTACAATTGATGCAATAGCTCCAGAATTAGTGGATATTAAAAATTAAGATGATTTAAAATCATAAGGATTGGTTACAACTATTGATACATCTTAGCTTTAATAAAACTTTCTTTTGGGAAGAGGAGAAAGTGATGAGGAAATGTCATTAGAAGAGGAGGAAAATATTTATGAACCACCATAATAAGTATCTTAAATGTAATCTAAAATTGGAGATTCAAATTTAGGATAAATGTTGAATTAGAATCATTAATATAAAGAAACTGCTGTTGATTTATCTTAATAGGTTTAGAATTCAAAATTAGAAGAAGCTAAGAGTAAAAAGTTATAAAAGTAATAAAGATTTAAGAAATATAAAATAAAAGCTTTTATTTAAGATGAAACAGAATTTGGTGATTAGAAAATATAAATAATAAGATTTTACGAAGTTGATGAAAATGAGGAAATAAAATAATAAAGATCAATGGAACCAGCAGCTGAAGAGGCTTAATAAAATTAAATGAAAACTGTAATGAAAGATGAATAATAAGTGTAAGAAGATGTGAATGCATCAGAAGGAGAATCTAATTTGTCTGGTGGATCAGTAAATGATGATATGAGATAATTAAAAGATTTTAAGGCATTGATTTCTGAGAAAACAGAACCTAAATATATTAGAATTTTGAAAAGAACTGTTTGGTTTATTATGCTAATTCTAATTATTTTAAGTGCATTGATATTAGGATACAGAATGACTCAAAGTTAAGATGTCTAAGAAGGAGCAGATGCTATCTATTTAGCATATTTAAGACATAATATAATGGCAGATGTTAATTTTTATGCTAGATTACTTTAAATGTTAGGAAATAGCACATATATAGCTGAAAATCATGGTTATACTAGTACTTCTGCAGATACTTTTATAAAAGCTAATGTAAAATAATTATAAAATAAAAATTTAGTTATCATATTTAGTAGATACTTTAAAAGTAGTATAATTTGATGTCATCAAAGCTCGTATTAAAATGGAAGCAAGAATGACTGGAACATCTAATCTTGAAACTTATTAAGTTAAGTTCTTGCTGACTTCTGGAGAAGTTAAAATGTAAATATTTATTATTATTAACATCATTCTAGTTATGATAACATTTTTAATGATGCTCTATTTTAAATTATTACCTCAGCTTCTTCATTAAGAAATTCATCTGCAGCCTCTTTTAATGGATCTGTCACTACTGTAGATAACACATAAAAGAATTTTTATTATGTTATGACTAATGGCTTATTTGTATTAAGAAAAGGATCAGAAAATATTGCTTAAAGATTCTTTGACTTTTATTCAGATGAAATCAATAATTATTAAGTAACCTTTTTTGTTATCATGGGTGTTGGTATATTCTGTTTAGTTGTATCAGCAATGATTCTTATTCCTATTGTATTTTAAGTACATAAAACAAATAATATGGTTATGTCTCTTTTTGGAATCATTCCTATTTAAGAAATTAAAGAATTAGCTGCAAAATGTGAAAATTATATGTAAGAATTCTTAGAAGATAAAAATGAAAAAAAAGAAATTATTGATAAAGATGATAAACCTCCTTAACCTAGTGTTTAACCTCCAGAGGTAGATAAAACATAAAATAAAGATGTTTTTGAAATGAATAATGAAGAAGAAGATAAAAGTGATAAAAAGAAATAATAACAGAATGGTTCAAATGGTAGTGGATAAAATGTATTATAGACTGGTCAACCTAATTCTAATGCTATTCATACTTCAATTACAGCTAAACCAACTGAAAATAAAGCTACTCCTTCTGCATTTACTTAAGGAGCTACTAAAAATGATTAAAAATAATAATAATAATAAGAATAAGACAAAAAAGAGAATGAAGAAGAAATAGAGAATCTTCGTTCATAAAAATTACTCAATTCAAAAGATAATAATAAATCTGTTGTTATTGTTTAATTCTTAATCTTTGCTTTAATCTTTATAGCTTATTTCATTTTGGATATTAATTTAGAATTAATCTTTCTTGAAAATGTTCAAAAAGTATATGATCATCTTTAATTTTCATCTTAAAGACCTATTTCTATTAAATACAATGTTTATTTCACATTCGAAGAAGTTGTGACAAATTAAACTCAATTAGAAGATTCACTTGATATGAGAACAGAATTTCAAAGTAGATTGTATGATAATGAAAGAAATTTATTCTAATCTTTGACTTTATCGTTTCCTTCTTAATTTGACTCATATTTATCCAAGTTTTAAGCTTTTACTTATAACAATTTATGTACCAACGATTTTAATATAAGTATGATTATAATTTAACTATTAATTTATAGATAATTTTACAACTAATTAAGCTGGATGTGCTGCTGTTGACTCAGGCTTACTTACAAGTGGATTAAAAACAGCTTTTGTTTCTGTAGCTTTAAGTACTAATGATATGATCAGTTATTGGAAAAATACCCAAAGAACAAGAACTGGTAATATTATCATAATAATTAGATTTAATTTCTACAATTAATAATTAAACTTATCATAATAAATTACATGGGTTA